CTGCTCTGCTCAGGCCCTTCCACTCTTCCTGCCCTGCCAGCTTTCTCCTTGTGAATGTGTACATTTTTATTCCTGTACTATCATTTTAATAGAGTTTTGGGAGGGAGTGAGGATAAACATATGTGTGTAACCCACTATGTTTAACCAGAGTCTATGAGTTACTTAAAAAAACAAATTACTACATTGAAAAAAAAAATATATATATATATGAATTGGGGCAGGGGGACACATTTAGCTCTTGACTATCCCTCCCAAACTCCTATGTTTAAGCCCTGCTATGGTTTATGTCCCCCCAAGTTCGTATGTTGGAAGTTGAATCCCTAATGCAACTGTGTTGGGAGATGGGGCCTAACAGGAGGTGCTTAGGCCGTGAGGACTCTGCTCTCCTGAATGGATTAATGCCATTATATAAAGGGCTTGTGGGAGTGGGTTTGCCCTCTTCTGCCATGTGGGGACACAGCAAGAAGGTCCTCACCTCCTGGGAGCGGGGGACCACCAGGTTGCCTAAGGATGGGTGAACCGGCCCAGGTTGGAAACGGAGCAGGTCAAAACTCCCGTGCTGATCAGTAGTGGGATCGTGCCTGTGAATAGCCACTGCACTCCAGCCAGGGCAATATAGCGAGACCCCGTCTCTAAAAAAAATAAAAATAAATACAAAAAAAAAGAAGGTCCTCACCAGATGCCAGTACCTTCCTCCTGGACTCCCCAGCCTCCAGAACTGTGAGAAAATAAGTTTCTGTTCTTTATAAATTAACTGGTCTTAGGCATTTTGTTATAGCAGCGTGGATGGATCAAGACAGGCTCTAACCCACAGGACCTCAGAATGTGACTATATTTGGAGGTGGGGCTTTAAAGAGGTAATTAAGGCTAAATAAGATCATTGGGGTGGGCCTAATCTAATCAGACTGGTGTCCTTATAAGAAGAGGAGATTAGGACACAGACTCACACACAGGGAAGACACAGGGAGAAGACAGCCATCTGCGGCCAAGGAGAGAGGGCTAGGAAGGAACCAAGCCTGCAGACAGACACCCTGATCGTGGGCTTCCACCTCCAGAACCGTGAGAAAATAAATTTCTAATGTACTTTGTTATGGCAGCCCGAGCAAACTCTCTCTCTCTCTCTCTCTCTCTCTCTCTCTCTCTCTCTCTCTCACACACACACACACACACACACACACACACACGTGCGCGCGCGAGCACACACGCGCACACACAGAAAATCCTTTTCTGAGACTGGGTGCCATGAATTCAACCTGATCATTTGCAAACAATCAGAGGTGAAAAAAAAATAGAAATTACTTTGTTGAGAATAATCATCTGGATCCTGTCATTTATCCAAAAAAGACAAGCAATCAGGATGCCATTTTTAATGTTTAAACGTGGCAGGAAATGAAATTTAGGCTCGAATGCGTGGACGTGCCATGACATTGACATAACACAACATGAACAGTAACATTTAAAAACTTACACATAGGCCGGGCGCTGTGGCTCACGCCTGTAATCCTAGCTCTTGGGAGGCCGAGGCGGGCGGATTGCTCAAGGTCAGGAGTTCAAAACCAGCCTGAGCAAGAGCGAGACCCCGTCTCTACTATAAATAGAAAGAAATTAATTGGCCAACTGATATATATATATAAAAAAAATTAGCCGGGCATGGTGGCTCATGCCTGCAGTCCCAGCTACTCGGGAGGCTGAGGCAGAAGGATTGCTTGAGCCCAGGAGTTTGAGGTTGCTGTGAGCTAGGCTGATGCCACGGCACTCACTCTAGCCTGGACAACAAAGCGAGACTCTGTCTCAAAAAAAAAACAACAAACAAACAAAAAAAACTTACACATAATTGCTCTTTCAAGGAAAAGCAACACACTAATAAAAGGAACTTGCACCTTTAGGACAAATATAATTACATGATAAGTGTCAGTTTCATAAGTAAAAAATATTTTTCTAAATCAAAGTGGTCAGAATGCAGATACCAAGCTTAAAGTCAAATGGATCCCATTAGCAGCCCATTTCATTCAAGGATCTACCACTAGATGGAGACGCTGAGCACAAACTGTGTTCATTGCTCTTTAAATTTAGCAAGATGTATATAGCTTTTCAAATAGCAGGGTTGTGGGATGATTTTTCTTATGTACTTAACATCATCACTTGATTTGTGGTTTAACTCTAAGAATTTCTACTAACTTCATTCTGACCAAAATTCATACCAATTTGTTGTACTGATTTTAATATACCATACACATATTTGTTAGAACTCTAAACCAGCACAGGGCCCAGACAGTGAGTGAGTGGCACTGTAGCCAGTGGAAGGCACTTGGGGGGGGGTGGGTTAGATGCCATGAAATTCAGTGCTTTTCAGGTGCTCTTTTAAAATTGATTTTTTTGTATATTATTAAATATACTGTATAATATATTAATATATACAATATGTTAGTATATTATAATATGTACAATATATTGTATAGTATAGTTAATAATATACTAAAATTTAGTATATTAAAATTCAATTTTTTAGGATATTAATTGTTGACTGTAGTAATTTAATAGAATGTTACTATGTAGGAAACATGTCATATTATTGTGATTTCTAATAACATCCCAAAACTAAGGTTTCTTAAATCCTGTTGAGGAGGATATTGATGAAGGAAAACTAGTTATGAGGACATCTGAGATGTCCTGGCCAAGTCTGAAAGCACCAAGTTTAACTGTGACCCAGATTTGATCTTGGAAGCTGATCAGAGGGTACAAGTTGAAGCCAGGTTTACACTCTGATTCCTCCAAGTGACCCAAGCGGTTTCATGTGAAAGGCGTCCGGGCAGGAAGGAGCTAGGGTTCGAGGTGGTCGTCTAGTTATTGGTACATGCGTGCAGATGGTGTCCACAAACAGCAGCGGCACGGGCCGCCCACAGGAAACAAAACGCTTGACAGTACACCTGCTTCTGCTATGTCGCACAGACTTGGCAGAGATTCTGTTTAGAATCTCTGTGCGTTTCCAAATTAAGCTTGGTTTTTAGTAGGTAGTAAACCAAGAGCTGGCTCTAAATCCATCTTCTGAATTAAGTTGAAGATAGATCCAGATCCCAGTTTGGCGTGGAAACAGACATGGTATTGTAATAATAGATGAGATTCGAACTTGAAAGAGTAACACAGTCGATTTCTTTTTTTTTTTTTTTTTTTTTTTTTTTACTTTTCGATTGGCTACATCTGTGGAAAGTCGATTTCTAATTAAAGTGAAGTCTGTTCTCTTTTGACTGAGGCACCAAGATGATTTGTCACAGATTTTTCCTGGCAATGAATGAATGCATGGTCGGTCCTAAGTCCAAATCACCAAGAGGTGTGTGGTGGTAAACGTGGTCACCAGGGGGCAGAACACCCTCCTTCCACCAGCTGGTTACTCTGGCCAGGTGAGGTCCCCCTTGCAGGTAGAGGTTCCCTAAATAGGTTCTTGCATTCCAGGTATCCTAACGGGAATGATGTTCCAGATAAAAGAGTATGTTTAGGGCCCTGCTACCTCCAATCAGAGCCTTGTAAGGAAGCACGTTATAGACCTGTGTCTTCCAAGTTCCTGCCATTGGCTATACTCAAATACTAAAACGTGCATCTTTCTCTAAGAAGAGGTATTTCCTCTCACTGCAAGTTCTAGCAGACTCTCATCACCTGCTTAACAAGCAGTAGCCAAGCTGAGACAGCTTGAAGTTAATGCTAAAAATTGGCTCACAGTGTTGCAAAAGCAATTCAGTGTGGGTGGATCAAATGAGCTTAACGGTGGGATGGAGCTTACATTGACTCATTCACAGCACTTATTGACTCGTCCACAGCAGTTACTGAATACTCCGTGGGCCGGACACCTTTCCCCAGGCCAGCTATGCTGGGGTGAAAAAGACAGGCCAAATCCTTGCCTTTGCGTGGCTTCTGTCGCAGTACAGGAACGAGACAAAAATCACCCAAATGAATAATTCAACCACTAATTTCAGGGGGGGGGAGGGTGATAAGTGCTATGAAGATTAATGAAGCCGAGTAAGGGCTAGCAGGTGATGGGGTAGGAACAGTGTAGTCGGCTGAACAAAAGCCCCCAAACACAGCCAGGTCCTAATCCCTTGAACCTGTGAATGTTAACTTCCATGGCAAAAGGCGCTTTGTAGATGCGATTGAGCTAAGAATTTTCAGTTGGGGAGATTATGTTGGGGAAATGTAATTAAAACCAAAATCTCTGCCAGGGCGGTGGCTCACACCTGTAATCCTAGCACTCTGGGAGGCCGAGGCGGGCAGATTGCTCAAGGTCAGGAGTTTGAAGCCAGCCTGAGCAAGAGCAAGAACCTGTCTCTACTATAAATAGAAAGAAATTAATTGGCCAACTAATATATATATAGAAAAAATTAGCCAGGCATGGTGGCACATGCCTGTAGTCCCAGCTACTCGGGAGGCTGAGGCAGGAGGATCCCTTGAGCCCAGGAGTTTGAGGTTGCCGTGAGCTAGGCTGACGCCACGGCACTCACTCTAGACTGGGCAACAAAGCGAGACTCTGTCTCAAAAAAAAACCAAAAAACAAAACCCAAATCTCCTGCTAACCCAGAAAACCTCTCCACAGAGGTAGAAGAGAAAGAAAACAGTTTTATTATTGAACACGCATTAAACCAGAATGAGATGCACATCACAGGAAATCTGCTAAGAGATTGCAAAGACAATGGGAGGCCGAGATGGGCAGATTGCTCGAGGTCAGGAGTTTGAAACCAGCCTGAGCAAGAGCGAGACCCCATCTCTACTATAAATAGAAAGAAATTAATTGGCCAACTAAAAATATATAGAAAAAATTAGCCGGGCATGGTGGCACATGCCTGTAGTCCCAGCTACTTGGGAGGCTGAGGCAGGAGGATTGCTTGAGCCCAGGAGTTTGAGGTTGCTGTGAGCTAGGCTGACGCCACAGCACTCACTCTAGCCTGGGCAACAAAAACAAAGCGAGACTCTGTCTCAAAAAAAAAAAAAAAAAGAGATTGCAAAGACAAGAAGAAACTTTATCCTTTTATATAGCCAAGCATATGCACCCCATTGCACATCTAAAGATAAGTGACTAGTCCTTAGCAAGAGGACTGGACAGTGCCATTTGTCACACATACACCATCCCAAATTCACTTGGAAATTGGGATTGCCACTTGTCTTTGACATTAGCCTTTATCCGAGCACAGGTGGGACAGACTGTGGTGTTCAGGTGGCAGCAGGCGTGGTGAGCGTGGGAAGTAGTCCTCGCAGCTGTGGGGCGTCCACACGTACCAGTTTCCTCCGCAGGAAATCTGAGACATCTCCCTCGTATCCTTTTTACCAATTGTAATCTTTCTCTTTTAGCAGACACCGGGAACTAGATATGCAACAGAAAATTGTCCTGGGCCTCCGGGTTTTGAGGATTGACATTTGATCTCAGCCTAGGGTTTCTCTTACAGCATTTGTCCTTGCCATGCATTATCCATGTTTTCATGCACTTAAAGATATTTTTAGAACTGCAGAAGTAGGAGCACTTTGATCTTTTCCTGAAGATTTTCCACCTGACCTAGATGCTAAATCTTGGAAAGTTAGGGGGCCTTCCTCAGTGTGTGCCTAAGCTGCTGTATAGTTTTTCCTCCATCCTGTAGGCTCGCAGTTGGAACGGACCCCTGTTTCAAAACACAGACGAACAAGAGAAAAACCAACAGAAGGTTATTGACACGTGTATTTCACATATACACGAGAGACATCCAGGGAAAGAGTAGTTCTCAAAGAGGTGGCTTTAATTCCAGTTTATACAGCAGATTCAACAAAGAATAGTAAATTTTTAGAGAAGTGACAAGACAAAGGAAAAGGAGTCTCTAGGGGTGGGTCCTTGTGGATAGGCAAATAACTGGAAGCTAAAGACAAGTTAGGGAACGGTTCGTTCCTGTGGATTCCTCCTGTACCATCTCCAGGCCCGTAAGGGTCTAAAGTTGTCGTCAGTAGTTAACCTTTGCTCCCCTGGTAGAGAGGGGAAGTGGGGTACCTTTTATCTTTGTAACGCTATGCCCTACTTTTAGGTAGATAAAGGGCAGAGAGCTTTCTTGCATGTATTTCTTCATTGCCTGCGGCTCCACAGTCCTTGCTATTTGGGGCAGCCTACTCCGGCCTCCCTGCTGCTGTCTCTCAGTGCCCTGCAGCTGGAAAGGGCAAAGGCTGGAGGGGCCAGCCTGTCCCTGTGATTCCTGCCAGAGCCAGGCTCACCCAGCGGATTGTCCCTCATCGAGGCCAGTGCAGGTGTGCTCTCTGCCTCCTCCACGAACCACCTGGAAAGTAGCTATGGGGGGGGGGGGGCTTGGAAATCTGCCTTAGGGATGCTGTCTGAAGCCGGAGGGAAACAGTAAGAGTTACAGTGAGTTCTGTTTTTCTCTCTTCCCGTTAGATCCCTGGTCTCTTCCCGCTTTCACCCAGTCATCCATTCAGGAATTGCAAGTGAGCATTTGGTTTTATTTTGTATTAAGTACCAAACCAAGAGAGAGTTCCATGGTTTGATGAGAGGTAAAGGTCCTCTCCACATCCTTTCCCATGTGGGAACACTGCATGGACCCTCCCTGCCCGGTTCACACGGAGGCCTGGCAGCTGGCACAGTGGCAGATGGTGGGCACTGATTGAATATTTGCTGGGTGTAGGAGTCTCGTGGGGAGGAGAGGTGGGTGCAGTTTTCCCTCTTTCAGATACTAGGCTGGTTCTAAACACTTGGGAGTCTTCATAGAGGATTTCTGGAGGCGTCCTTCCCCTCACCCCCTAAAATGCTCACCTGCTTTGCCATCTAATCTGGCCACAGGAACCAGGCACAGCTGGAGGGGAAGATGGACCCTCCTGGGGGCCCCACACCCTGTGCTGCCCTATCTTTCTCCAGCTAGCATGTCAAAAGCCGAGACAGTCTCCACTGGGCTAGGCCATTGGAACATTTGGCTTGTTGGTCTCTAAAGCATTTTGAAGGTCCAAGTCCCAAATACCAAGGCTTTAAATTTCCAGCTGGCACAAAGGCTCAGGAATCCCTCCATGACTCCTTTGCCACTCATTTTCTTCCTGCAGAGAGCTAAGGCACAGTCACACTTAGCTTCCTTTGGCCACACCAAAAGAGGAAGTGACAGCAGGTGGCTAACTCCTGACTGTGAGGAGGCATTTCTTCTAGTGGGGGCTGGGGAGTGAGGGAGTAGTTTAGGGTCTTGTTGAAGTGAAGACCCTTCCTGCTAGGAGAGACTTGATTACAGACACTTTGTGAGTCTATAAAGGAATTCTCCTTTGAGGGGTCTCGCAGGTCTGTGGGAATCAAACAAAATTGCAGTAATTGAGAAGCTTTAGACGGCTGTACTTGCTCATCAGCCCATCTACTCTGTGCCAGGCCCAGCACTTGGTGCTTTCTTCACACATGCAACTTCAGCGGTTGAGACTGAGGCACTGCTTGGGTTCAGATCGGCCCCTATCCTGCTGTGTGGCCTTGGGTAAGTTTCTGAACATCTCAGAGTCTCAGTTGGTTTCATTTGTACAATGAGGATCAGGCGAGTTTGTTTCATAGGTTGTTGACAGGATTAAATGAGGTATGTATGTGAAGAGTTTATCACCATGCCTGACACAAAATAAATACTCCCTAAATGTTATCTGTCATTACTAAGTATTCAGGTAAAAGCTGGAGTATCGGCCCGGCGCGGTGGCTCACGCCTGTAATCCTAGCACTCTGGGAGGCCGAGGCGGGCGGATTACTCAAGGTCAGGAGTTCAAAACCAGCCTGAGCGAGACCCCGTCTCTACCATAAAATTAATTGGCCAACTAATATATATAATATAAAAATCAGCCGGGCATGGTGGCTCGTGCCTGTAGTCCCAGCTACTCGGAAGGCTGAGGCAGGAGGATCGCTTGAGCCCAGGAGTTTGAGGTTGCTGTGAGCTAGGCTGATGCCACGGCACTCACTCTAGCCTAGGCAAGAAAGCGAGATTCTGTCTCAAAAAAAAAAAAAAAAAAAAAGCTGGAAAAAATTCATTCTTCTATAACCACCAAACTTGACATATATTCTACAATGTAATGATCACATTTTCTGAACCCCCAAACTATATGATCTGACAAAGATTTTTTTTCATTTTTGTGGATTTCATGAAGAATATAAAAGTTAAATATTTAATGTACTAATAGCTTGACGTTGATAGGTAAAATAAGAAATGAATAAATGGAGAGACAGGAATCTTAAATCTCTCTAAATGCCAATAGGATTTTAAAAATATTGACAAGAAATTATAAAGTTCATTTGGAAGAATAGCCAGAAAGTTTTAAAGAACAACAACAAACGGAATCTGTATGTAGGGAAAGTACTTAACTATAATACTAGGTATTAAAACTTATGTTCTGTGATAAAACTACAAAATTAAATGTTATTGGGGGTGGAGGTTGCCTCTCTAAACAGAACTCTAAATACAGAAACCATAAAAAAAAGACTAATAGGTTTTGGCACATAAAAAACCTTTCTCGCACCAAAAATTAAAAAGTTAAAATATAAATGGAGGAAACATGTTTCCTCCCCCATGTTTGCCACACCCATGACAGGTAGTCAATACCTCCACTTTATGAGCGACCCCAACAATATAACCAACTTCTCAACTTTTAAAATGGGCAAATAGGAAAGCGGGCAAAGGGACATAAATTCACAAAAGAGAAAATACAAACTGGCAATAAAGAACCATGTGAACAAACAGTCCAGCCCTAGTAATCTAAGAAATGCAAACCAAAACAATAAGAAATTACCATTTGAAATTAAATTTGAAAAAAAAAGGCCTGTGTTGTCAAGGATATGTAAAAATGGGCACTTCTTAGAGAAAACTAACAAATCTTTCTGGAAGATAATGTAGAAGACATTTTAAAAATACATTTTGCCTTTGACCCATCAGTTCCCAACTTCTACAATTTTTAAATCAGGTATGTGCGATAAAAGATAAATTTGTTAAGTATATAGAAAATCTATAAACAATCTACTTGTACATTTATGCAGACATGAAGAATCACATTATAAAGGAATACCTAATAAAATGGGAGAAAATTCACAATATCACGTTAAGTGAAGAAGGCAGCATACATCTTTGCAAAGCATTATGCCAAACATGGAATGGATATGCATTGGACAAAAGGTTACATACCAAAATATTAAATGTAATTGACTCTAGGAGGTAAAGCAAGAGAGATTTTTATGTTCTCCTATTTCCTATTTATACAACAGATTTAAAAGTGCTACCAAACGTAACTTAGGTCCTCTCACCCTATGCAGCAAAGCCAAACTCCGACTGCAGGATTTGCAGGGAGAGAAAGAATTATGTTTATGGTAGGGTGCCTAAAAAAATGAGAACAGGCAGCTAACACTTAAGACTGGAACTCCCAGATGGGCTTACAGCAAGGGTTTTAAAAGCAGGGGTGGGGGCCCTCAAAAGTGAGCTAAGGGCTTGGGGACTTCTGGAACTTCCTTATTCAGGTTCTGGTTCCAGTCTGTCTTAGGTCTACATGACAGCAGTTGGCATTTTCCATCTGGTGGAGGTCCTGATTTCTGAAAAACAACTCAGGGACATATATTGAGATGTTATCTTTAGTTTCTATAGGGAACCAATCATCTTGTGACTCTGACTTACTTCAGTGACTATTGTTTAAGTTATTATTATCTTCTTGCTTAACGGGTTATTCATTCAATTCCCTAATTGCTGGTTGCAGGGCTACCTAGGTGCCTGGAATTTCTCTTGAAAGAACTCAGATTTTTATTTCTATGCCTGGGGATGGGGGGAGCCCGGCGGCAGCCGCTTAAGAAGGGTCCCTGCTCCCTCTCAAAGTGTTTTAAACTAATGGCACAATTCAACAATTGCTTTTGCTGAAAAGCATGAAAGTACATGAAATTGTACTAGCCTGGAAACCCGAGGGAAGTGTTTCGTTAGGAAAGCCAGGGCCACCTGCTAGTGGGTGAGTCACGGGCACAGGCTCGCACCTGCCACCGCAGACGCCACACCGGCTGCTGCTGCGCTTCCAGGCGAAACGCCCCACGTGCGCCAACGGCCCGGCCGTCGCCCCGCGCCTTCCCCGCCGCCACAGGAGGCCCGGCAACGCCTGCTCTTTCCCAATTCCTGTGACAGAGGAATAGGAACTTTGCAAAGTTCACATGCTCGGGCCTTCTCGCTCCCCACTTTGGAACAAGTCGGAAGCTGCGGACTCCCAGGGCGCCCGCGCCCGCGCTGGGGAGCGTCCGCTCTGCGCCCCGCGGCGGGGAGCGCGGCCTGGGGGAGGCCCCGCACGGCGCCCCCTTGCAAGTCTCCGGACGGCCGGAGCCCTTCACAAGCCAGTGACGACGGCCCAGACCGAGTGACCACAGGCCGGCCACGCGGCCGCCCGGGACGCGCGTCCTCTGCAGGGACAAAGGGTCGGGAAACTTGAGCTCGGGCCTGTCCCGGAAAACCGGGACTGGTGGTCGCCATGGCGACGGAGCCGGGCCTCGGAGGCCGGCGGCCCGGGCGGGGCAGCTGCGGGGCTGACTCGGCCCGCTAGTTCGGCCCCGCGTCCGCCCCGCGTCCGTCCCGCCCCGCCCCGCCCCCGGGCCGCGGCCGCCCGAGCCGGCGACTGACCCTCGGCAGCTCCTGTAGTCACGTGGCGCTGGGAACCCGGCGGGGGGAGGTTGGGGACGGGCCTGGCAGTTGTGAACTCGAACCTGCCGCTGTCGCCGCGGCGGGGCGGGGAGCGGGCCTCGGAGGCCGGCCTTCGGGCTCCATGGACGGGCGCCGCGCCTCTGCACAGCCCACCGGAGAGGTACGGCCCGGCAGGGGCGCGGGGGGCGCCGCGGGCCCGCAGGGCAGCTCCACCTGCGGGGCGCGTGACCGTGAGTGCGCGCGGGGGCGCACTGCCGATCCGCGGCGGGTTGGGGGCGGCGAGCGCACCTGCGCACAGGCTCGGCGAGCTGCGCCGTGCGTGGGACCCGAATGGCTCACTCGTAGGAGCAAGTCCCGTGTGTCCGTGAACGTGGACGGAGGACATGCACTAATACAAAAGGCGGCTGCGGGGCTTCAGCCACCCTTGGCCATCTGAGACGCAGAAGGGGGTTCTGATCCAAGTCCTGGTCACACTAGCCGGCCCTGCGCAGCCCCATGGGAAATAGGCCTGGAATTCCTGTTGGGAGGAGGGTGGAGGAAGGGAGCCAGCAGGGATTCCAGAGTTACTGCCATAGGCCGGCCGTTGGCCATCAGGAAAAACCCAGACCCTGTCCACAGAATGGAGAATTCGTTCTGTTACCTTACCAGGAGGGGAAGTGACCCCAAAGGCAGCAGTGTACTTCCTTGGTGAAGGGGCACATTCATTTATTAATCCAATATCCATTAAGGTCACTCTGCCAGGAAGGGTGTGGGGCTTAAGGCTGGAGCTGTGGCTGTGGGGGGAGGGATTGTGGCTGGTGAGGACACAAAGATGAGCGCCCTAGAGGAGCTCAGAGCCTCACACATGTTTTCTCCCCCCTTCCCACAGGTAAGGCTGGCCTCTCTGCAATCAGAGGTCTGAGCTCTGCCATGGGGGTAGGGGTGTCTTTATTGCTGCAGTTTTCTCTGACACCTGGGGGCCACCGGAGTGTGGGCCGAAGCAGGCGCTGCAGCCGCAGAAGTATCCCCAGGAACATCCCCAGGAGGAGCTGGAAAAAGCCTCATTCCCAGCTCTGCGGTCTCAAGGGTAGAGTCTGGGCTTTGCTGTGTTCCCAAACCACTCCACAACCCCAGTAGCACAGCCCCCACCCCCATCCCGGTGGAAGGAAAGGGACCTGCAGGGGAAGGATCCGCGTCTCATATCCTGGGGTCTTCCCTGTGCTCGGTGTAGCATTGGTAATGAGTCATGGCTGTGCTCCCCAGGAGGAGAGCCGCTCTGGGGAATTTAGGAGGATTGTGTCTGGAGCTTGTGAGCAGGCCCTGAAGGCCCTTGAGGAATGTAACAGCCACCCCGGCCCCCTTTCCATGTAGGAGGGTCTCGTGCAGGAATCTGGGCTCCCCCAAACTGTGGAAGAGCTGAGCATGAGGCAACCCCTGGCAAGACTGGGGCAGGACCAGGCAGGGGACAGAGATTACAATCTCTTCTCCCCTCCCTTCTCTTGCCCCAATAATCCACAGCACCCCAAGGGAGGCAGAGCCAGGGATCAGGCCCTCAGGGCAGCAGGCTGTGGGTGTTCCTTGGATTCAGGGAGAGTTTTTCTTTCCTGCGATGTCCTAATCGTGTGTGTGTGTGTGTGTGTGTGTGTGTGTGTGTGTGTGTGTATGTGTGTGTGTGTATGTATGTGGGTGGACGAGGGCAGGCGGGCAGAGTGTGGGCACGGTCTGGACGGGCGATGGCCTGGCATTAGACTGTGCTGGGAGTAGCACCCAGGGCTCCCTTGCTGTTCGCTGAGAAAGGCTGTTCTCACTTGTTCTCCATGCTTTTTATAGTGGTGGGAGATTGAGATTAACGAGGCCAAAATTGGTGTGGCCTCCTCTGTGGTGTGATAAGAATGAAAGGCTATAGAAATTTCCTTCTGTAAAATCTTTGCAATGCCAGGTGTTTTAGAGGAAAGAACACTGCCCTGGGAGTTTAGAAGACCTGACCCCTAGCCTTAGTTCTGCCCTTGGTTTACTGTGTCACCTCAGGCGAGTTCCGTCACCTGTTGATGCCTCACAATTGCTTCATCTGTCAAACAGGGAGCTCAGCGTCCGCTTGTCCAGCCTCAGAGTTGCTGCGAAGCCCAGATGTGGCAATGGGAAGTAGCAGACCCAAGGGGAGGGCAACAAGGAAGTGCTTTGGAAAAGCATAAGGCACTGCAGGGAGATGTGAGCACGTTTTCTAGTGAGTCCTGTAGCAGGAATGTGCATCCAACACTGAAGTGTTTACCACCTGCCTGACACTGGGGTAGCTGCCATGATGGATTCTAAGAAGTGTCAGTCAGAGTCCCTCCCTTTTGGAAGTTTCCAGGATAATAAAGTTGTAAGACAAATATCTAGAAACCCAAATTGAAATATAACATCCAAGGAAATAGAAGAGTAGTCGATTTCAGTTCCCATCAAGGGCTCTAGGAGCTCATAGATGGCCAGCTCCTCCGGGGGGCTGAGGTCAGAAGGGAGGAGCTGGGCAGGCTGAGTTGGTCTCTAGAGTGACTCTGCTTTTCCACCCTCAGCTGAGCAGGACCCGATGCTGGAACGCCGCTGCAGAGGCCCCCTGGCCATGGGCCCGGCCCAGCCCCGACTCCTTTCTGGGCCCTCCCAGGAGTCACCCCAGACCCTGGAGAAGGAGCCCCGCAGGCTGAGGCAACAAGGCACTTCAGTGTCCCAGCCGGGCAGCCAGGCCCCGGGCAGGGCCCACCGCTGTGCACACTGTCGGAGGCACTTCCCAGGCTGGGTGGCCCTGTGGCTTCATGCCCGCCGGTGCCTGGCCCGGCTGCCCCTGCCCTGTCCCGAGTGCGGCCGTCGCTTCCGCCATGCCCCCTTCTTAGCGCTGCATCGCCAGGTCCATGCTGCTGCCACCCCAGACCTGGGCTTCGCCTGCCACCTCTGCGGGCAGAGCTTCCGAGGCTGGGTGGCCCTGGTTCTGCATCTGCGGGCCCACTCGGCTGCAAAGAGGCCCATTGCTTGTCCCAAATGCGAGAGACGCTTCTGGCGACGAAAGCAGCTTCAGGCTCATCTGCGGCGGTGCCACCCCCCTGTCCCGGAGGCCCGGCCCTTCATATGTGGCAACTGTGGCCGGAGCTTTGCCCAGTGGGACCAGCTAGTCGCTCACAAGCGGGTGCACGTAGCCGAGGCTCTGGAGGAGGCAGCAGCCAAGGCTCTGGGGCCCCGGCCCAGGGGCCGCCCGGCGGTGACCGCCCCCCGGCCCGGCGGAGACGCGGTTGACCGCCCTTTCCAGTGTGCCTGCTGTGGCAAGCGCTTCCGGCACAAGCCCAACTTGATCGCCCACCGCCGCGTGCACACGGGCGAGCGGCCGCACCAGTGCCCGGAATGCGGGAAGCGCTTCACCAACAAGCCCTACCTGACCTCGCACCGGCGCATCCACACCGGCGAGAAGCCCTACCCCTGCACGGAGTGCGGCCGCCGCTTCCGGCACAAACCCAACCTGCTGTCCCACAGCAAGATCCACAAGCGATCCGAGGGCTCCGCCCAGGCCGCCCCCGGCCCTGGCAGCCCCCAGCTTCCCGCGGGGCCCGCGGCGGAGCCCAGTCCCGAGGCCCCGCCGAGACCTGCCCGGGAGCCCGCGCTGGAGGCCTCCCGAGAGCCCCCGCAGGACCAGGCCGAGGCGCCGGCGTCCCTCTACAGCTGCGACGACTGCGGGAGGAGCTTCCGGCTCGAGCGCTTCCTGCGGGCCCACCAGCGGCAGCACACGGGCGAGCGGCCCTTCACCTGCGCCGAGTGCGGGAAGAACTTCGGCAAGAAGACCCACCTGGTGGCGCACTCGCGCGTGCACTCCGGCGAGCGCCCCTTTGCCTGCGAGGAGTGCGGGCGCCGCTTCTCCCAGGGCAGCCACCTGGCGGCGCACCGGCGCGACCATGCTCCCGAGCGCCCCTTCGTCTGCCCCGACTGCGGCAAGGCTTTCCGCCACAAGCCCTACCTGGCCGCCCACCGGCGCATCCACACCGGCGAGAAGCCCTACGTCTGCCCCGACTGCGGCAAAGCCTTCAGCCAGAAGTCTAACCTGGTGTCCCACCGGCGCATCCACACGGGCGAGCGGCCCTACGCCTGCCCCGACTGCGACCGTAGCTTCAGCCAGAAGTCCAACCTCATCACCCACCGCAAAAGCCACATCCGGGACGGCGCCTTCTGCTGTGCCATCTGTGGCCAGACCTTTGACGACGAGGAGAGGCTCCTGGCCCACCAGAAGAAGCACGATGTCTGAGGCGGGCGGGGCCGGGGCGTCGCTGTGGGCTGGGTGGGGATGCCTGCCTGTAGCTGGGGTGGGGGAGACTGGAATCCCAGAGGGGACAGAAGAGGCCGGGAGTGAGCTGGGCCCTGCGAGCCAGGAAGGTCAACCCGGGGAGGCCAGGGAACCCACTTCAGAGCTCAAGGACGCCGGCCTCCAGTTGGTGTTTGCTAGGGTTCCTGACTGTCCTGTGCCCTGGAAAAGTAGCAATAGCAACTCCATCTACCCCTTAGAGCCCTCTGGCTAGAGGAGCCACCAGTGGGAGGGAAGACCCTCCATCCTCTGGTGTTAACGCCTTAATGTCCCTGTCTTTTCCTACGAGTTACTTCAGATCAATTTTGGAAGTAGGTGTGGTACAGTCCTTAGTGAATGAATGCCTGGGGAGGAAAGTGGACCAGCTGGATACATCTTGGAGAACCTGCTGGCCTTGTTAGACAGCACCTGGGCCTTTTCCAGCATCAAGCCGTGAAGCTGAGCTGCTCTTACCTCCTGCCCCTGCCCCTCCCTCCTGCCCCTCCATAGGCACCCAGACAGACTTGGAGACCCATCTACTGTTCATGATGCCACCCTCTTCCTCCCCAGAGACCAAACCTCCAAGGCATTTCCTCCTTGGTCTGTCTTGCTTTATCTAGCCCTGCGCCCCACCCCCCCAAGTGCTTAGAGCTTCCCCTGGCTGTCAGCAGCTCTGTGTCCAGGCTTCCCTTGAAACTCCCCAACCCTCCACTCCTTCCAAAGCTCAACATGTTGTGGAAAGGACTGCCCCATTGGTGACAGAGGGTCAGCTGAAGGGAAGATGCTGGGTGAGTTTCCTTTCCAACATTTCTAGCATACAGATGCCCAGCCTCTGCTTGAGCACTTAGGTGCCAGGGAGTTCCCCACCTCCTGAGGCCCTGGTCCTATCGTAGGATGATTCTAACTGTTAGAAATTCTTCCTTATAATAAATGAATTCTGCTTTCCTATAATTTCTATCTATTGGGCCTTGTGCTGTTCTGTGAAACTAAACAGAACAACCATTTACCCTCCTTTTCAAACTAGAAAATAAAGATTTGGTTTTAGAGCTGGTGTCTGGGAGTGTTCCTTTTTCCTGGGGGGCTGTGGAGTTTTCCGAGGAAGGAATGGGCGCTGTGGGTGGGGCTCTGGCAACAGGCCCAGTGCCTGACTTGCTGAGCTGCTCCCCACCGGTGTCCAGCTCTTCCCCGAGCACACCCCAGCAGCCGGGCTGATTCTCTGCGTGCCAGGTGAAGGCTCCAGAGAACTCCGGTGGGGGGAACTGGAGATCTCAGTTCCTGGCCACTTGTACCTCCTACAGTGGACCCAGAGCTGCCATTGTCTCTCATCACCTTGACCTTGTAACCCCAGAGAGCACTGAGAGGCTTCTTTTGAGGGGTGGTGGATGCTACAGACTTTGCTAGGCCTGGACCCTTCCTCTGGCAGCCCCCGTGGAGGCCTGACCGCACCAAGAAGGAGTCTCTGGGAGGGGAGGCAGCCGGGAGCTGCAAAGACGGCTCTCATCTCCCTCATCCCACAAACCAGGGTCGGGGGTTTGGCCTTCTTGGGGTCAGGTCGGACTTTTTAGGTGCCATTACCAGAAAGGAAAGAAAGGCAGATTTGGTCTTGTTCTGCAGTGCCTCCCTGGCTGGCCTGCCGCAGGCCTCCAGATCTCGGCCAGTAGTCAGTGCACGTGTCCCCGCACAGGTCATTTCATACAAATGTGAGTGCCTGTTTTTGTCAGGCATCAGCAGGCTCTTTTCTTGCTGCCTTAGTAATTTCTGCATAGATCCCCAGCATCTAGCACGGAGTCTGCTGCATAAGAATGACCACCATTTGTTTACGTGAGTGGCACCTTGCAAAGAAGTTTCCCTGAGTTATCTCATGTACCCTGGTGTGGCAGGTACTCTCATTCCCCTTTTATAGATGAAAGCATTTGCCCATGATCATAAGAATGGTAATCACCAGAGGCAGATTGAAGTCCAGGTCTGTCCATCCCCGGAGGCCTGTGTTACCGGGTGAATGGAGTGTGCTGCTGTTTGTGGTTAACATTCCTACTGTGTGCTTGATGTTATGATGGAAACTGAGGGGTTACAAACACAAGACTCAATCTCTACCCCATGAGGCGTGGGGCTGGGTGGGATGTACACGAGTACGAGTAGGGAGAGGTGCTGGGGGCAGCTTGCAGTGTGTAGGATGGGCGAGAAAAGCTTCAAAGCTTCATACTGGTTTATGGGGTTATGGGGCTACTTAAAAACCTGTGTCATTAATGGCAAATTGCCTGTCAGAGCCTGGGAGTAGAGGGTGTGGTCTCAAGAAAGCCCCACTCACATTTGTTCTCTTTGAGGGAGCTCAGGGCTTCCAGGGAAGAGGAGATGACTAGGAAAGAGTGGGTAGATATCTGGGGACGATGGGCAGGAGCAGGGGACAGGTCCTTGGGCATGTAGTTAGTATTGAGGGGTTGGGGACAAGCATGAGGGAGAGCGGGGATATGACCTGGGGTCCTGACCTTTTGCAAAATCATTGTTTTTAAAGGAAGCAGGCTGGGGTAAGGGGAAGACAGGCACTTCGTATCCATGCTACCTGCCCACTGCCTGTGGGGAGGGCTGGTGAGGAGAGGTCCAAAGGCCAGAGGAGGCCACACTAGTGGCCTTGAGGGGGCTGGTGAGGCAGGGACAGGGTGGACTTGCCCATGGTTCCCTCCTGCGTCCCCAGGGATGCGGGGGTGGGGGCAGTGGTCCCCAAGTTCTTGCTTATCCTGGTGCATCCTGACATCAGTCACAGGGAGGGAAGGGCTGCCAGGATGGAGGGGCTGGAGCTCTGCTGGTGGGAGCTGCCCTTCTCTCTGAAGAATCCAGTTTTTCTTTTTTTCTTCTACAATTACAAAAGTATTAAATTATCTTTTAAAATAATTAAATAATTCAGACCTATTGAGATTTTTTTTTTAAACATGAAAGTCCTTCATTCTCCTATTCTACCCTCCAAGTCCTTTCTCTTTACACTGTGAAAAGGGTTTGATGGTACATTTTTTCTATGCATTTGCAAACATACATATGCAGCCCCCCCCTTTTTTTTTTTGCTTAATGGAAATGGGATCCCAGATGTGTCTCATTCTTTCCACCCCTGAAATCCCCTTGGCCATGGAATGTCAATCTGGCAGAAGTCTCACTCTGTAGAGGAGGAAACAGGCCCAGAAAGTGGAAGTGACTTTCCCAGGGTCACACTTGTGTGGAACTAGATCTGGAACTAGAATACGGGTCTCAGAAAAACAAGCCTTTGGGGGGCCTTCTCTAGGTACTCTGGAAAGTAAAGAGGTGGCTGAGACTCCGAAGTGTTGATGGCTAGGCGTGCGGCCTCTATGCTGGCTGCGCAGGGTTTTGTGCCTCACCAGTGCCTCTGTAGACGATACAACCAAATGTGACTGTAAGCCCCCAGTAAGGTATGTAGGCAACCAGAAAATTAATTAACTCTATTTCACAAATAAGTCAAATTCCAGGGACAGGAAAGTATCTTTTGTAAAACTGCACATGAAGCTGGTGGCGAAACGGATAGACTCGGCCCCCAATTCCCACTGTGCTCCTGAGGCTAAACAGCAGCTGGGCCGATGGGAAACGCTCAACCAGCTGGTGACGGATGAGGTAAAATAGGGTCCACCTGCCTAACAGCGACAGTTTGTAGGAGTCTCAGAGCGGCCCCCTCCTGTTCGTATCTACAAGGCAGCTTCTACTCAGCTGTGGGGAGAGTCCTGCCAGTGGGAGGCGACCGCGCTGTGCCCCCTTTGAGGTAGAAGCGGGAGGAATTTCCTTACAATCCGGGTGGGAAGATGAAAAAAATGCTCCTTCCAGGGGGTCTCGGAACCCCAGACCCTCAAGACCCTCGTCCGCCTGGGCCAGGTTGGCAGCTGCGCAGAGAGGATCCCACTCCTGGGAGCCCTGCCCAGAAACGAACCTCCTCGGGACCTGCTTCCCCAGCTAGAAAACGAAGGGGTTGAATGTCACGATGTCTGAGGTCTCTCGCGGAAAACCCTAAAACCATTTGCCCCACCCCACGCCCCCGCACGCGGGGACCCCCTTCCCTCGGCGCCGGCCGTGCGCCGCGGTGACAGCGGCGTCCAGGGAGCAAAGGAACAGCACGGCCAGCACACCGGACTTGCGCTCGGGGACGGCGCGCAGCGGGGACGTCCGTCTCGGCCCCGACGACTCCTCGCAGGGAGGCCGGTCCCGGGCGCGCCGCGGCGCTCGGCGAAAGTCCGCCGAGCTACCGACCGAGCCGGAACGCGCGTGTGCGGGGAGCGGGGCGTGCGCAGGCCGTGCGCTCCAGTCTGCGAGGGGCCCCCGCGGGCGGGGTGCCACAGGCAGGGCTGCGGGCCACCCGCGTCCCGGCCTCGCTCTGCCGCCCCACGCCCTCGGCGAGCGCGCTCCCCGCCGCCCGGCCCCGCGCGCCCGCGGGGGCGAGGTCGGCCCGCCCACCCAGGCCATTGGCTCTGGAGAACAAAGGGGCCGCCCCGCGGGCTGCTCCGATAGGGCCGGGCGGGTCATCTGAGCGGCGCAGCCAATGGGGTGGCTGGGCGGTCCGGGGGACGGCCAGGACCGCCAGCCAATCAGGCGCGCGCTCCCGCCCCGCCTGCCCCGGGACTGGCCAGGGCCCGGAGCCCGGTGCCCAAGTCGCCCCCGGGGTGGCAGTTCCCGTTAACCTTAGCCACAAAGTCAAAGGTATTTATTTCCCGGCCCCTCCCTCCGAGTCCCACTGCATTTCGGGCGGGGAGGGCGGTGCGAGGGACGGCCCAGCGCCCGGCCCCGCTCCTCCCGCGCTGCCTCCCCCGACCCGGGCAGGGGCCGAGGATGGGCGGGGGCCTGGGCCCGAGTCTCCCCGCCCCCACAGCCAGGACAGGGCCCCGGCCGGCGGGGAGGGCCGCAGGCCTGGGCGGCGAGGTCAGCGGGAGGCCAGAGAGGGCGGGGGAGGATGCAGCGGCCAGCGGAGGGTCGCCCGCTCGCGGCCCCTCCCGGGCTGTCCCGTTGTTCCGAGCTCCCCGCCTGTGTCCGCCTCCCAGACAGACCTGCTTCTGGGGCAGGAACCCCAGTGCCCGCTGCAGAGTGACACGTAGTAGGTGCTCAGTAAATGTGTATTAAGAGTGGGGCTCAGGCTCGAGGGTGGAGGCAGTGAGAGGATAGTACCGCAGAAACTGGAAGTGGGTGCGCGTCCCTGAGACCTCGGTTCCAGGGAAATGGGCACAGCAGCCAGGGTCTCAGTGGGGGAGGGGGAGGGGCTTCTCCCTCCGTAAAGGATATAGACGGCATCTACATGGGAGGATGGAGAGATGTGGCCTCCTTTGGGCAAGATGGAGCCTGGAGTGGGTCTTGGTCTTGGGGCTGGGCTTGGGTGTGGTGAGAGCCCCAGGGGCTGCAGGCGCAGTGGCTAGTCTGGGCTCCACAGTTAACTGTTCTTTTGGGCCCCTGTGTTCATCTGTAAAATGAAGAGATTAGGTGGCATTTTGCCTCCTTTCAGCTCAAAGTTTCCATGATTCCGTGCTTCTAATCTGTTTTGGACTGAAATTTCTTTTATTTAAGCATTCCCTCATAATAGTTTGTGTTAATGGTATATAGAGTGTGGGGCCTGTACTGGGTGATGGGCCTGTGTTTAGATGCCTGTAGTTCTGCGGAGACTGGCAGAACATTGATGACGATGATGATGATTCCATGTAGATGGTGCTGGGTTGCATGGGTTGCACGGGTTAAACGGCGTAGGGGCCCCTAACTGAGCCTGGTATATCCAAAATTGCTTCCTGGCCAAAGTGATCCCTAATCTGGGCTGGGAAGGGGAGAGTCGGTCAAGGGTCTTCCAGGACTGGTCATAGGTGTGGGGGGACAGGGCAAGTTCAGGATATGGATGTCAGGAGGATGGGGTCTGTTGGGGTGCAGTGGGGAGAGGTGAACAGCGGCCGGATTTAAATGGCCCTGCCAGAAAATTTTTAGTGAATCTGAAAGTGTGGGGGAGCCATTGAAGTATTTTAAGCATAGTAGTAACACGTCCAAATTTCAGTTTTAGAAAAATTGCTTTGGGTTCTCGATGGCAGATGGATTGGAGGGAGCAAGCTATAAAACTGTCAAAATCATCCAGGTGAGAAGTAGTGAGGCCTGAACTTGGGCGGCGAGATCGTGAAGGTATTTAATATGGCCCCAGTGGGACTTAGTTGCCTACTGCAGAGCTTGGCAGAGGTGGACTGGTAGATGTACCTGTCCCCCAGTGAGGGTTCAGCTGAGAAATTCAAGGTTTTTGAGGGCTGCAGTGGCCTGGAGGGCAGAGCTCTCTGTCCAGGTGTACAGGAGACCTGCATTCAGGCAGAGAATATAATCTCTCTGGGCTCTGCTTTCCTCATCCATCAAGGGGGGAAATACTCCCTCTCTTTCTCAAGGTCCTTTGAATGCAGCAAGGGGTGGCAAAGTGTTTATGAATAACAGTGTGACACTGTTCAAAGGGTTGTTGTTGGCAGTTGGTTTTGGCCCTGCCTTTAGATTAGGTCATGGGGTCTCCCCAGGTCCTGACAGGCTCCTGAGTATTAATTAGAACTGGGGCTGGGGAATGTGAGTACAGCTCTCTCTTCTAAAGGGAGGTGGGTGAGCAGAGGCTGGGGAGCAGGATGCCATGGGTGTGGGGCAGGCATGGGGCAGGAGTGGGGTGGGACAGTCCCAGCAAAAGTGTGCATGTTGGGCAGGTGAAGGTGGAAGTCTGGAAGGAGGTGCCTCAGAATCTGGGGCTTGGGTTGAGTTGGGGACCTCTGGGAGGTGGGCAGGCTGCCCGTGGACCAGGTCATCCTCAGGGAATGCTGACGGGAGCAAATGGAACCACTAAACCGTGCAGGCTGTTCATACCAGAGCAACCCCGAGGTACAGTTCTTACAACCCTGAGTGGAGAGCAGGAGGGGGTGATGGCCACCGCAATGATCTAAAATGAATTTTTCTTGCACCTTATGAATGTTTTTCAGAATCCTTTCACACTGTTTCTCCCCTTTGATATGACAATTTTCTATGCAGGAGCAAGCATTGTTATTTCTATTTGCAAGTGAGGAAACTGAGGCCCAGAGAAGGAAGTGGGTTGCTCTGGGTCACATGGCTAACCAAAGACAACCCAAATCCCAGTCCGGGGACTCTCAATGGCTTTGCCCACTATGACCTGGTCTTTCTGTGGGACGATGGTCTGCCCTTCCCTCTGCTTCCTACATCTGTCCCCATTCCTGAGATTGAGGACCCAAGCATTTGGAGGGCTGAGGTCCGAAGATGGTAGAGTGGGAAGAGGGGCGGGGCAGGACTGGAAGAGTGGTACCAGTGGGGGTGGCCAGTATTGGGGGTGGCCTGGAAGTTGTAGAGGAGCAGGGCGGGTGATGGGTGGGGACTGGAGAGCTGTTAGAAGATGCTGGGCCTGATGCTGGGGTGTGGGGATGAAGGCCTTTGGGTGGGGAGGGGACAGGACCTTGTCTGGGTGAGAACCTCTGGAAGGGGCACATAGAACTGCCCTGTTAAGTGGAGGGCTCTGCATACAGTGCTGCAACCACAGCCGTGTCAAACCTCCTCCTCCCTCTAAACCAAGCAAAGTGTGGAGGCTATTGCGGGACGCTGAGGCCTCCCCTTCACCATTAGGAACCTGAGGACCAGAGCAAAGGGACTTGCCAAGGACAAGCAACAGCTTAGTGACCATGGGCTGGGAGTTGTGGGTTGTGATGTGGGCTTGAGGTGGGGGTCTGGAGTCCTAGGGGAGGGACTGGGAAGGGCAGCCTTGCAAAGGAGTGGGCTTCAGGGGGAGACCTGGGCTGATGAACCAGCCCCGTGGTGTCTCGGGTCTCCCAAAGCTGACCTAAGGGAAAGGGCTACTGCTTCCCCGTGGGCCAGAGCCCACAGGCCAGGCCCCGGGAGGGTCTCACGCTGCACTGGGCTTGCTGGGCACAGCCTCACTGTCTTTCTAGGGCTTTCTATCCCACTCTGCCTTCTCTCCAGCCCACCGCAGCCCCTGCTGGCCTATGGCACCTCTCCCGCAGCGCAGGGAATCCGACAGGTCCTAGATCACTGTGGATATGTTGCTTCCATTTCCACCTCCCTGAGTTCTTGTCCTGGGAGCAGGTGGCTCCAGTGGGATGGCCACGAGTGCGCACGGACACCGTGTCATGAATGGACTGGCGCTTCTGTTTCCATGAGTGTGCTGTGTGGTGATGTGTACTAATGTGATTCACAGTGGCACATTTGTGTCTGTGGATCTGTAAGTATGTCTGTGAGTTTAAAAAAAAATCTCACTTTCTCTGTATTTGCAGATGCAGTTTTGCAGGTATTCTCATGTGTATGAATATCTCTGTATTTTTGTATCTTTGAGCTTTTGTTTACTTAAGATACAGTTTTGTATCTTTAGATATGATCGTTTAGATACGATTATATCTGGGTGTGTTTGTGTGTGCATTTAGTGTTTATGTCAGTTTTTTCATATGCCTATAATTGTATGTTTAAAATTAAAACATCTGCTATTAACTGAAATCGTTTTCCCAGGCAGAGCATGCCATTGGCTCATCCTGAGGGATTTGTGGTTAGTGACAAAGAGTGGGGCCAGAGGAGCCCTGTCCTCAGACTTCCTTTCTTTCTTTCTTTCTTTCTTTCTTTCTTTCTTTCTTTCTTTCTTTCTTTCTTTCTTTCTTTCTTTCTTTCTTTCTTTCTTTCTTTCATTCAATATGTACTGAGAACCTTCTGCATCTCAGGGACTGGGCAGGACAAGAGAGTAAGTCCCCACCCATGTGAGAGGTGTTGTGCACTGAAGACACACAGTTGGGTACAGGCCTGGGAGGAGACCAGGTGGGCCAGGCGGGGTGAAGCCAGTTCGGGCTGGGAAGGATGTGGCTGACAGAAGGTGGAAGCCATCCGGGCAGTATGGGCAGAGGGGTGCCAGCTTGGCCTACGAGGGTCCCGGGAAGGCCAGCTCCTGCCTGGGCGTCCGGTGAGGGTGAGAGACTGTTGGTACGGCTGGGAAGTGCCCAGCAGTTGTGGACCTGGTGGGGCCTTGTGGCTGAGAAGGCCTGGCACTGGGCCTTTGACCTGGGTTTGGGGAGCTGCCCTCCCCTCGAAGCCTCAGCTCATGGTGGAAGGTGGTCCCCGCTCCCCACCACTGGCACAAAGGATTTGGGAGGTGCTGTCTACTTCTCACCTCCTACCTGGGCCCTGTGTCTGAAGAGAGCTGTGCCCAGCTACTGGGAAGGCTTCAGGGGCTTGAGACTAGGAGCTTGTGGGGAAACCTGGACAGGCCTGTGGTCTTTCTCTCCCCCAGCTGCTGTCTGCCTCCAAGTCTCTGCTGCAACCAAAGCTCCTTTGTTACCTCCCCTGCCCCAGGCCTCAGCACCTGCTGCAGGGCACAATGCGCTCTTTGTGTGGTCCTGCAGTTGTCATGGCAGCTGGGCTCTGGCTGAGGCCTTCCCCTTGAGGGGAGCACACTGAACTGCAGCCTGACCTTGGCAGGGGGAGGCCCTGGCCCAGAGCCAGGAAGCGGTAATGAGGAGATGGCCTTGTCGGAGACTTATCCCCTGTGCGTGTCCTGCTTGCCACATGACAGCTGGGCAGGGTCCTGGCAGGGTGTGGTGAAGCTGCCCTGTTGCTACCTGTCCACTGGCCCGGGCGTTTTGCTGGGGCCTATGGGTGGGCCTGGTCCTGAGCATCTCCAGTCAGCTGTGTGCAGTGGTGGGTAGGGTTAGTGGCACGGGGGTATGCTGTGTGGCACAATAGGGCAAGACGCAGAAGAGGAGAGAAGCTCAGGGTGGGGCACCTGGTAGCCCGGACAGTCTGAGAAGTATCACATGGAGGACTTTCCTTGGCATGGCTTTCCCAGGGTTTTACCTGCAGGGTACCTTCTGCGCTGTTTCCAGATGCATCCCACCTGAGCACACAGGTGGAGGTGGGTCCCCAAAGACATGGCCTCCCTTCCCCCATTCCTGCCCTCTGTGCCTCCCCACTCACTTCTCCCTCTTGGGTCCACGAGACTCCTCTTCCTTCTGTTTCCACTTCTGTTCTCACCTAAACCACAAGGCTGCTTTCCCTGGAGCGGCATGTGGCCCAGAGGAGAGGTACCAAGGCCCAAGGGAGGAGCTGCTCTGGGGAGGTCAGGATGCATTGAAGCCTTTCCGGTACCTGAAGTGACTTTTAGGTCCTAACACCTCTTGGAAGATAGGAAAAAGTAGGACTATGTTTGATTTGGCGTAGGGGCCTCTAGTAGTGTGGTGTAGGCCAAGGCCCACTCCTCTGTCCTTGTCCTGAATTTCTGACCCCTTTATTCTGTGTTTCCCCACACCATGGTGGCTTCTCTGTCCACCAGTCCCTCGGAGCCTCTTTAGGTGGACATGAAGTCCAGTTGATGAGAGGCTTCCCCAAGTGTGGGGTGCAGAAAGCTCACACGGGGTGGCCTGTAGGAAGAGGGCGGTGCCTGCGGGAGGAGAACCTAGTGCCATGGAGCCCTTTCAGGCTGGCCCTCTTCTCTGCACCACCAGCAGGTTTTAGTGTCTATAGGAAACTGCAGTCAGAGTGCTTAACAGACCCCTGCTAGGAAATAGAATTAAAAACAAAATCTCACCCAGGCTCAATGGTGTGCTCAGTGGTGTTCCAGCTGCTCTGGCTGTAGTTCCAGCTGCTCTGGAGGCCGAGGTGGGAGGATGGTTTGAGCCCAGGACTTCAAGGCTAGCCTGGGCAACATAGCAAGATTCATCTGAAAAAAAATTAAAACGTATTAAAACAAAATCCTTTGCCAACCCAGAAAATCTCTTTGCAAAAGAAGAGAAAGAGAGCAGCTTTTTAAAAATTGAATGTGCATTAGCCAGAATGTGATGCACATTATAGGCCATCCCCTAAGAGGCTACAAAGACAGCGCAAGGTCTCAGCCTGTGTGTAGCCAGGCAGGTGCTGCCCATTACAGACAGGCTCTCAGGATAACCAGTAACTAGTCCTTAAGTAAGAGGACTGGACAGCACCATTTGTCACATGTGGTTCATCCTAAATTCACCTGGTAATTGGAGTGGCCATCTATGTTAGCCATTATAATTGCCTTTATCCAAAGGAAAAATAAACTTCTCATATTTTTATGACATGAGGTAGGTTTGCAACTCGGAGCCAGGTGCCTGCCGAAGTTAGGCTCCTGCCCTCCTGTGGAGACCAGGCGTCTTCCTCAGTGCTCACATTTCAAAGAGTCCTTGAGAAAGACAGACCTGCGGTGGCCAAGCTGGCCAGAGACTTATTCAGCTCTTAAAATGGTTTACGTCTCAAAAAGACAGAGATGGAACTTAGAAGTTTCTAAAGAAAATGCTCTGAAAAAAGCGGATGTGTCTCTTTCCCTCTTTGTACCAGGGACAGATTTTTTTCTGTATTTTAGACTCATATTTACCCTCTGGCCTCTGTTTCCCCTTTGTAAAATGGGAATAATGCCTGTGTTGCCTGCCCAGCAGGTATGTGTGCAATTAAACAAGCCGTGCGCGTTTCAAATGAGGTTACGGTTAGAAAGGCTCTTTGAAAAAGGGAGAGTGCGGTCTGTGGGGTGGGAGGCGGACTGGGAACCCCGGTTTTCATCCCTGTCCCAATTGTTTTCCTTTCACTCCCATCTCACCCACAGATGGCAGGGCAGAGACCCGGCCCGCGTTGATGCTGGGGAGGCCTCCAGGGATGGAGAATGGCCTGGCTGGTGGCGGCACAGGTAAGAGGGAAACTGGAGGAGGTGGGGACCGGCTGGGGCTGAGTGCCCTTGCCCTCTCTGAAGCCAGGCATGCGCTGCTGCCCTCGGCCGTAGACGTAGAGTTTCAGGGTGGGATCAGGACTTGGAAGGCCATGCCAAAGAACGGGACAAAGATAGAGGCGGTGGGAGCTCGGAGGATGACAGAGCCCTGCCGGTTAACTTGCCAGGCAGGGGGACACACACACACACTCACACACCTTGTAGGAACTGAGGTGTTTTTTAAGTGCTGGATCAGGGAGTTCATGGTGATTATGCTAATAACCACGGAAAGCTAGCACTCTGGGTAGGACAGTTGGGTAAAGCAAGCCCTGTGGTTCATTGGCCAGGGCAGTGTCTTCAGTTGGGTCCATTAAAGCTTCCTGGGGTCACTCAAAGTTCAGGGTCTTTATCTGCTAAGCTGCTTAGAGCCAGTTGTGATGAGATACATGCTGTGAGTGGAAAATTTTCCGGTACAGTCATGTGCTCTCGGCCGGGGTGGAGCAGCCCCTGGCATCTGTGAGCAGCCCTCCCAGCCCTCGGTGGCTGTGTGTGTGGCTAGGGCTGCAGGCACCCTCTGGCCCCACAGATGGGGTTGGGTCTGAGAGCAGGCCCTGGAGCAGGGTCCTGAGCCGCCACCCTCAGCAGGGTGTGACTCAGGTTTCTTTACCTCCCTCGCCCCTCCCAGGGGAGTGCCTGCAGACCCCAGGGCCCCTGCCTTAAGGCCCGGCCTGTGGGGAGAGCTGCCTCCCCTCCCAGGAATTATTCCGTGACCTAAGGCTGAGACAGACACCAGGCGGGAGGGCAAAAGAGAAGCGGGGCGGGAAGCTCAAAGGGGGACGGCGTGGTGTGTGGCAACCACGCAGTTGTGGGGCTGGGTCCTGACACAGACCCTCAGGGCGCTTGGCCACACTGCCGGCCCCTTGTGGCATGGACATTACAGTGTGAGAGTGAAACTAGAGCGCATGTGCCCAGCGTCTTAGCAGAAGGCCCCCTCTCCCCAGATGAACTCAGGAGTGGGATCCTAGCTGGCTGGGAGGTGGCTCTGCTGATGTGACATGTGGAGTCCGCCAGGACCCTCTCCCCTTCTCCTCCCAGTGTCTGAGGCAGCCCTGTGGTTTTGGGGAAGGGTTTGAAAACCACTGGCCTACACCCCAGGGGCACTGAGGCACATGGGGACGGGGTGGTCCCCTTAGTGACTTTTAGGACGTGACTCACTCTGGGTGGCCGCAGCATTTTTCAGGTAATTGAGAGCTTACCTCTTTTTTTTTTTTAGAGTCTCACTTTGTTTCCCAGGCTACAGTGAGTGCCATGGTGTCAGCCTAGCTCACAGCAACCTCAGACTCCTGGGCTCAAGCAATCCTCCTGCCTCAGCCTCCCGAGTAGCTGGGACTACAGGCATGTGCCACCATGCCCGGCTAATTTTTTTTTTTTCTGTATATATTCATTGGCCAATTAATTTCTTTCTGTTTAGAGTAGAGACAGGGTCTCGCTCTTGCTCAGGCTGGTTTCGAACTCCTGACCTCAAGCAATCCGCCTGCCTCGGCCTCCCAGAGTGCTAGGATTACAGGCGTGAACCACCGCGCCCAGCCAGTTTACCTCTTTTGAGTGCCTTTTTATTTGTTTTGTGTATTTCTTTTTATTATGACAAAATATATGTAACATAAATTTTACCATTTTAACTACTTTTAAGTATACAATTCGATGCATTAAGTACATTCACAATGTTGTGTGTCCATCTGTTTCCAGAACTTTCATCGCCCTGGAAACTCTGTGCCCATTAAGCAATGAATCCCCATTTTGTACTTTTTAATTTTATCTGAACCATTTATAACCTAAACCATTAGCCTTGTCTTGGTGACAGAGGAGCAGTGCTGTTATTTTTGGACTCCTTTCAAGGGCAGGCCTGTTTTCCCCCACGTTGATTCCTGGGCCCCAGGGAATGTGCCCCGGGACAGGGGAGCCCCGCACCTCCCCTCTTCAGTTTCAGGAGCTCCTGGGACGAGTGCAGGGCTTCACCCCTCCCAACCCAGTCGTTTATATTTGCACCTTCAGCAGGTGGATGAGACAGAACACTGTCCTGGCAGCCTGGGGCTTTCTGGCCCAAGGTCGTCTTGCTGCTAGAGAGGGCAGCCTCCCCAGCCATCAGCCACGTGATGGACAACAGGGTCACCACTATCTTCAGGTTGGCACGAATCATCCTGGATCATGCATATTGAGAGAGAGAGAGAGAGTTTTATTTTTCATAAATTCAATCAGATATTTCATATAGTTTTTGAGCTTGTTTTGTTTTCTCTTAAAATGTTTTGGAAATTTTTTCACATCTGCATATAGAGTTATATTCCATACTTTTTAATTGCTGCATAATATCCCATATTATGAAAGGCATGATAACTTTTAAACTAATAGTATTATATATGGGTGATTAGGTTGTTTCCCATTGTTTGCCAAGTACAAACAGCACTTTCAGTGGCTATTCTTGGACATTCCTCTTTACACTTGTGGGTATTTCTTAGGTAAATATGTGGAGTGGAATTGCTGGCCGGAAGGAGAAGGCTCTACGGATTTATAATTTTAATAAACAACATCAAATTGTCCTCTAGAAAGTCTGCCCCAGCTCATGTCCCCAGGATGCGCATGTGTGTACTTGTTCTGCATAGTTTCCATGTGTATTGTGAAGTAGGGATGTTACCAGTCTTTCTCATTTTTGCTAGTGTGATGGGTAAAAAAGATGCTACACTATTATTTTACATTTTGTTGATGACGAGTGAGGTTAAACCTCTTTTCATCGTATCTCTAGGAGTCCTTTATATATTCTGGATATAATCATTGGTCATTATATATCTGCACATATTTTTTCCTAGACCTGTGCTGTCCAGTATGTGGCCATTAGCCACAATGTGACTCTTTACATTTAGGTTTAAATTAACTTAAATACAATAAAAAGTCGTTTCTTAGTCGCACTAGGTACCTTTCAAGTGCTCAGTGTCTCAAGTGGCAAGAGAGCTCAGATGTAAACTGTGTCCACTACCATGGACAGTTCTATTGGAAAGTGCTGTGCTAGACTGCTATTTCTACTTAGGTTTATGGTATCTTTTGTCACACAGGTGTTTTAAATTTAGGTTTTATGTTTTGTATCTTGTTTAAGAAGGCTTTTAATTACCTCTGGATTCTAAACAATTTCCCCTAATTTTTCTAATACTTATATTTTCTTTGTTTCAACCACTACTTACGTCCATCTGGAACTTATTTTTATAAACAATATGCACTAGGAATCTAACTTAAATATTTTTCGCAAAAAGATTATCAGCTGGTTCTAAATCAACAGACTGGCCTTTTGCCATTGACTTGGAATGTCTCATGTGTCATATATCAAGCTATTTTGTTTCATTGATCAATTTGTCTTTATGTATACTCTATACTATTCTCATGATTTGATTGTTTTTAGCTTTTTTTATTTTTTATTTTTGGTGGAAGGGAATCTGACTTGCACCCTCACCTCACCAGGCACACCATAGAGCAGCCACACCAATAACAACTGTATCAGTCACGAGTTTTTTGTTTTTTTTAAATAGACTTTACATTTTAGAGCAGTTTTACATTTATGGAAAAATTGCAGAGAAAGTAGGGAGTTCCCCTATACCTCCCCCCAGTTTCTCCTATTATTAACATTTTGCATTAGTGTGGTACAGTTGTTCTAACTGATGAGTCAATATTATATTATTATTTTTAGAGGCGGTCTTGCTTTGTCACCCAAGCTGGAGTGCAGTGGCATGGTCATAGCTCACTGAAGCCTTGAACTCCTGGGCTCAAGCAGTTCTCCCTCCTTAGCCTCCCAAAGCACTGGGATTATAAGCATGAACCACCTTGCCCAGCCTGATACGTTATGATTACCTAAAGCGTAGAGGTGCATACATTAGGGTTCACTCTTTTTTTATTTTTTATTTTTTTTTATTTTTTTATTTTCTATGGTTCCCTGACCGGGAATCGAACCCGGGCCGCGGCGGTGAAAGCGCCGAATCCTAGCCACTAGACCACCAGGGAAGGGTTCGCTCTTGATGTTGTATATTATATGGGTTCTGACAAAGACATAATGTCCTGTACCCACCATTACACTGTCATACAGAATAGATTGACTGCCTCCACATGCCCTGTGCTCCACTTGGAATCATACAATACATAACCTTTTTAGACTGGTTTCATTTACCTAGCATATGCATTTAGGGTACCTCCATGTCTTTTTGTGACTTGATAGCTCATTGTTTTTATCACCGAATAATGTTTCTTTGTACGGATGTACCATAGTTTGCTATCCATTCACCCACTGAAGGACATCTTGGTGGCTGCCACGTTTTGGCATTTAGGAATAAAGCATCCATGCCATGTACAGGTTTTTGTGTGGACATAAGTTTTCAACTCATTTGGGTCAATACCTAGGAGAGTGATTGTTGGATTGTACGGTAAGCCTACATTTAGCTTTGTAAGAAACTGCCACACTGTCTTCCAAAGTGGTTGTACCAGTTTGGATTCTGACCAGCAATGAAAGAGTTCCTGTTGCCCCATATCCTTGCCAACATTTGGTGTTGTCAGTGTTCTGGATTTTACCTATTTTAATATGTATATAGTGGTACCATTCTAGCTTTTAATGTCATCATATAAGCCAAATTCTTACTTATTCATTTTTAGGATTTTCTGGGCAATTTATGTATATCATAAGTTTTCTAATATACTAAACTAGGATTACATTGAATTTAAACATTAGAGTGAAGATCTTTGTCTTTTCATCTAGTAATATATCTGTTCTTTTATTTAGGTTTTCTTTCTCTTCAGTAACATTTAATAGTTTTCTTTATATAAGTTTTACATGTTTATTTGGTATATTCCTAGTTATTTTATGGCTTTCATTGCCATTTTTAAAAAGTATTGCTTTTTTTTATGTTTTTGTACCTAGCAATCTTGCTGAACTCTTCTATTTTCAGTGGATTCCCTTGCACATTCTAAGTTAATAATCATAAGCAAATGACAGTTTTCTCTTCCTCTCCAGTATTTGTATATTAATAGTTCTCTCCACTCCCCCATCCTCCTTTACCCCCTATCCCCTGGATTTGGCTAGTTCCCCAAGTGCAAAGTTGAATAGTGTCATTTTGTTCCTAACTCTAATGGGCGTCTAATCTTTTGCCTTTGCCTATAATGTTTACTGTAGTTTTTAATATACATTGCTTGTCAACTTAATAAAGTTTCCTATATTCCTAGTTTGCCAAGAGCTAGTTCTTCCCCTTTTCCCACTTCTTCCTTCCTCTCCTTCCAGAAATGTTGAATTTTATTGTGTGACTTTTTCACATCTGTTGAGATGACATGACGTTTTTCACTTTTTTTTTTTTTTTTGGGACAGAGTCTCACTTTGTTGCCCAGGCTAGAGTGAGTGCCTTGGCATCAGCCTAGCTCACAGCAACCTCAAACTCCTGGGCTCAAGCAATCCTTCTGCCTCAGCCTCCCGAGTAGCTGGGACTACAGGCATGTGCCACCATGCCCAGCTAATTTTTTCTATATATATTAGTTGGCCAATTAATTTCTTTGTATTTATAGTAGAGACGGGGTCTTGCTCTTGCTAAGGCTGGTTTTGCACTCTTGACCTCGAGCAATCCTCCCGCCTCTGCCTCCCAGAGAGCTAGGATTACAGGCGTGAGCCACCATGCCTGGCCCGTTTTTTCACTTTTAATAAGATTATGTCATGAATTATATTGGGCCTTCTTTGCTTTCCTGGGGGAAATCTCAGGAAGGCCATGACATGTTATTATGTTAATGGGACTGAACTTGCTTTGCTCACGTTTGTTTGTGTTTACATTCAAAGTATGATAAACCTATAATTTCCTGCCCACCCCTATTCTTGTCTTGTTTTGATACTGGAGTTGCGCCAGCCTTACAGACTTCTCCCTCCCTCCCGCCCTTTCCTCCTGTTCACTGCGGTAGTTTATCCGAGCTGGGAGTAATTCTTTCCCTTAGGTTTTCAGAGCACCTGTTTATATAGTTGTGTGGCCTATTACCCATTTGTGAGGTAGAACTTTGGCTTTCTTCTGAGCCTTTTCTATGGGGGCCCAGCCACTGTAGAGGGTGCTACAGTGACCTGGGGTTTGGTCACCGTAACCACTGAGGGACCGGGCATGCCCTTGCTTAGAAAGCTCCTGGCACATTGATCCTCTTAGAAAAAGAATGGTATGTTTGGAAACTTGGCCATTTTGTCCTTGCTCCCTGGGTCAGCAGATTTCACTGGAGCAGCTGCTTCTTTCACCACTTCTGCGCCTGCTGCGCGTCGGTAGGGGAGGCAGGGCAGCCCGTGCTTGGCGGATCCCACGTGCTTGGCGCCCAGGTGACGCGCTGATCTTCCTTTTCTTGTACCAGTATTTTTTGCTTCACTCTTCTTCACACCTCAACCTGCCCTTATCTTATTGTCCTTTCTGCCTTCTCTACTCTTTTTTCTCTCGCTCTCTTTTCTTCTGCCTGCTTCCGTCTTGCCCTTCTGCGTTCTTTTCTCTCTGGCTTTATTTTCAGCTCTTCCCTGCCTTCCCGCACCCCCTTCCCTCTCCCCCCTCCTTGTCTGCATCCACCGAGCAGAGCAGCGAGTGACCTCTCCCTGTCCTCTCTCCGTTTGCCTCTGGCAGGAGACGGGCTGGCGATGAAGATCAAGCAAGAGAAACCAGACCGGCCGCTGCAGCCGCTGGCCCCGCAGGCCGTGCTTTCTGAGAAGGACAAGGAGAACATCTTCCAGCAGCGGCGGGGCCTCCCGCCATGCCAGACCGTGGGGAGGCCTCGAGCCTTGGGGGGACAGGAGGAGGCTGGGGGCCCAAGGCGGGCCCCTCCCACTGAGCAGGATGGGGGGCTGGCAGGCCAGTCTCCTGGGGCAGTCCCTGCCCTCCTGAGCCCCGCGCTTTCTGCCGGGGAGGGTCACTTTGTGTGCCTGGACTGCGGGAAGAGGTTCAGCTGGTGGTCGTCTCTGAAGATCCACCAGCGCACGCACACCGGGGAGAAGCCGTACCTCTGCGGCAAGTGCGGCAAGAGCTTCAGCCAGAAGCCAAACCTGGCGCGCCACCAGCGGCACCACACGGGCGAGCGGCCCTTCTGCTGCCCCGAGTGCGCGCGGCGCTTCAGCCAGAAGCAGCACCTACTCAAGCACCAGAAGACCCACTCTCGGCCCGCCACCCACTCGTGCCCCGAGTGCGAGCGCTGCTTCCGCCACCAGGTGGGCCTCCGCATCCACCAGCGCGCGCACGCCAGGGACCGCCAGGGCGCCCGAGCCGGCCTGCACGAGCTGCTCCGGGACGCGACGCCGCGCCTGGCCTGTCGCCTGCGGCCGGCGGCGCCGCCGCGGGGGCGCCCCGAGTGGGCCTGGCTGGGGCTCTGCCAGGGCTGGTGGGGCCAGCCTGGGGCCCGGACCGCAGAGCCCAGCCCCTCGGGGCCCGGCGAACAGCGCCAGTTCATCTGCAACGAGTGCGGCAAGAGCTTCACCTGGTGGTCGTCGCTGAACATCCACCAGCGCATCCACACGGGCGAGCGGCCCTACGCGTGTCCCGAGTGCGGCCGCCGCTTCAGCCAGAAGCCCAACCTCACGCGCCACCTGCGCAACCACACGGGCGAGCGCCCGCACGCGTGCCTGCACTGCGGCCGCGGCTTCCGCCAGAAGCAGCACCTGCTCAAGCACCTGCGCACGCACCTGCCGGCCGCGCAGGCCGCGCCCTGCCCCCGCTGCGGGAAGAGCTGCCCCAGCCGCGCGGCGTTGCGGGCCCACCAGCGCGCGCACGCCGCCGCCGAGCTGCTGCGCCCCGGGCCCGCCGTCCCGGGCGGGGAGCCGGGCTCCGAGGGGCCCCAGGGCTCGGCGGCTTCTCGCAGCACCCAGCGGGCCCGAGGAGCCGGGGACGCCATGTGGGGCGGGGGGCGCGCGGGCCTGGCCGGGCCCAATGAGCCGCGCCAGTTCATCTGCAACGAGTGCGGCAAGAGCTTCTCGTGGTGGTCGGCGCTCACCATCCACCAGCGCATCCACACCGGGGAGCGGCCCTACGCGTGCCCCGAGTGCGGCCGCCGCTTCAGCCAGAAGCCCAACCTCACGCGCCACCGGCGCAACCACACGGGCGAGCGGCCCTACCTGTGCGCCGCCTGCGGCCGCGGCTTCCGCCAGAAGCAGCACCTGCTCAAGCACCAGCGCGTTCACCGCGGAGCCCTGGCGCCCAGCCCCAAGGAGGAGGCGCGCTAGTGGACTGCGGCCACAGAACCCTGGCGGTGGTGGGCGGACGCGTGTCGGGGAGCGCGTGGGGAATGGGGTGGCCAGGAGCGCTGGCTCTTAGAAACCCCTGCGGGGAAACCAGTGGTTTCCTCAAGGCTCTGAAGGCCTGAGAACAGAGTTCCAGAAGCATCCCAAAGGGTGCTGGGAAAAAAGGTCCTGGGGTGTGCTGAGGGAGGAGGTAAGAGCAACATTCCTCACTCCGGAGCTGGGAGGTGTCGCGGTGGGCTGGGGGCCGTCCAGGTACCTTTTCAGAGGTTGGACCCCTGGCCTCAAGCATCGAGTGGTGTGGCGGGGCTGTTGGTGCCAAGTGGCCCAGGTCTGGACTGGTCAGCCATAGCACCAGCCTGTCACACTTGGGCTGCAGGATGGCCAGGGGGCTGCCCTGTGGGACAGTCCCGGCAGACTCAGTGATACCAAGGATGGGAGCCAGAGGCCGTGGCTAGGGAGGGGCACGCATATCCCCAGCACCAAGGCCAGTGCCGGCACTTAGTGGCTGTTCAATAAGTATTTTTGGAAGGAGGGAATGGTTGGATACCCTCCAACCCCGAGTGCCCCACTGCCCAGGCAGGGTGCTGGGTATGGTGGGCTGACGCTAGGACCGGTGTGTGTGTGTGTGTGGTGGGTGGGCATGGGGTGGTCTCAGCTGAGGTTTGGTTGCTTGGGGAGGGGAGCTGGCTGGCAGAGCCAGATGTGCTGCTCCTACTCTGGTCTGGGTGTGTGCCCCAAGTGGCCTGGCTGACTTCACTGACTTGGATCCTATCAATCCCAGTCTTGCAGAAGAGCAAATGAAGGATTGAATACTCCGTGTGGTCTCATTGTCCTCTCTGAGTCAAGGGTGTGTGTGCCGAGGGATCTGTTTGCCCTGGGACCAGGGCAAGGAGCTTTTGCCATGAGCACAGCCACCCCCAACTCCCAGTTCTTGCCTGGGGTGGAGGGCAGTTTTCTCTCTTCTCTCCTTCAAGTCAGTTTTGTGTGCCTCCCCACACACTGCCTTCCGCCTCTTGCGCCCAAGTGGTCACCCCTGGTGCCCTTCCAAAGCAGGGTTGGTGGAGGCCCTGGTGCTGCAGAAGAACCCAGGGCTCCTGCCCAGGGTGTATCTTTCCAGAAGAGGGGTGGAGGTGGGTACTGGGGTGCCAGGGTTGGATAGCTGGGAGGTAGGAGGAAGAAAGGGGGACCCCAGCGTTGACTGTGGAGGTGGAACTGCACCTGCCCATCTCCCAGGGCCCCTGATCCTTTTCTGAAGGTAGCAGAAATGCTACCTTCTCCAGGAGCTGCTACAGTGTAGCCTGGGTTCTGGTCACGCCTCTTTTCAGATCTTGTTTAATCCTCTTTATCTGGTAAGCTCTACTGTTGTAGCATTGAACAAAGACATGAAGATTCTGGAAGGACAAGGAGGAACACCCAGCAGTTCCAGCTTACCTGGGCAGCACGGTGCTGGTGATGGTTAGTGCTCAGCCAGGCCTGCTGATGCCTGGTCTAGTTCTTTGATCACAAGCCATGCTGTGTGGAATGTCACACTGGGCCAGATGTGCCAGAGTCATTACCAGCTACCCAAGCACTTGGCTCTTAGCATCAACAGGAAACCAAACCAGAAGGGTTTTCCTGGGCACTGTCTCTGCCCCAAACCAGCCCTTGTGCTCCCCTCTCTGATGCCCTGCCACTGTCCTGGGGCTACCCCCAGTCTGCCCTGCCTCCGAGGCGGGCGGATTGCTCGAGGTCAGGAGTTTGAAACCAGCCTGAGCAAGAGCCAGACCCCATCTCTACTATAAATAGAAATTAATTGGCCAACTAATATATATAGAAAAAAATTAGCCGGGCATGGTGGCGCATGCCTGTAGTCCCAGCTACTTGGGAGGCTGAGGCAGGAGGATTGCTTGAGCCCAGGAGTTTGAGGTTGCTGTGAGCTAGGCTGACGCCATGGCACTCACTCTAGCCTGGGCAACAAAGCGAGACTCTGTCTCAAAAAAAAAAAAAACAACAACAAAAAACCTACCCTTAACCATGGAGGAGATTCAGGAGTCATTTCCTTCTTTCCCTTTGTCACTTAGCAAATCCTGAAATCACCTTGAGCAGGCCCACCTACTCCAGGAGGGCGTCCCTGACTGCCATCATTCATTCCTGGGTTAGAGAGCCGCTGCCCACAAGGACCTGCAGGAACACTGGATCCCTGTGGAATCAGGTGCTGAGCGGGAAATGCAGGCAGATAGCGAAGAGATCAGTCCTACAGGAGTGTCTTTACAATAGAATGTGTTCTTTTTCCTAAATGGCCTGTGTTTAAAGACCAAATCTATCAAATAGCTGTGTTGGTAGAACTTGGGGTTAATGAGGCCTAATTATAGTCTTTTTTTTTTCCTGTGCAAATCCATGAGAATGCCTGTCCACTGACTCCAGGTGACTGAGCCTCCCACAAATGGGTGTTGTGGGTCACAAGGGGGCCAGGGGCAGATCCCTCAGAGTGAGGAATAACAGGTGTATTGCTGCATTGACAGGTCAGGGTACTGGTTCACTAAACAAGCCTACTGTGTGCTAGGCTTCTGGGATGCTGCAATGACCAAGACATAGTCTCTACCCTTGAGGAGCTTAAGGACCTTCATGGAAAATCATTTTGATACACATGTGGCTTGGAACTCTCTATATGGTCAACTCTTAAATTGTTCCCAGTCCCAGCTCTCTTAGCAAGGCTTTCTTATTCGTGATCCCACTTAATCTCACCATGAGTCAGATGTAGGCAGGGCAGTGACATGCAGGGAGGGGGGCTGGGACAGTGTGACTCGTCCACCAGGTCCTGTTGCAAATTGCCAGCAGGTCCCAGGCCTCTTGTTAGCCCAAGCTGCTTCTGTTGTCACAATCACAGGCTTCTCCAAGGGTGTTGTGGCATTGTCAACTTAATTTTCATTCCCTTTCATTTTAAAATGATAAAACTGGGTCAGAGAATATTGAGGAAAAAGAATGTCATAAACTCAGTGACAAGAAAGACTTGTTACCCTAGTGGTTTACAATCCAGAATACCATGGAGCATGCTGAGATTAAGGTGGTTGCATAGGGGAACAAAAAACAACCATGAGCAAATAAATCAAAATCTTGAAGGGCTTATATCCAGTCCATAGCCAGGAGAGTGCAGGTCTGCAGTGGGTGTGGTCAAGCTTACAACAGGCCACGTGAGCTTGGTGGAGCTGGGGTTCTTGAGCTGCCTGCACCAGCCTTGTGTGCCTTTGTTAGGAGCAGGCTGCAGTTAAGAAAAATGACTTAGGTGCTCAGAAAATGACTGTCCTTTGGCAAGCAACATGAGCTTCAAGCCAGCCGGCAAGGTGGTGGGCCTCCTTGGGAAGGTTTGGTGCCGCAGGGGTTGGGCTCAGCTGTCCGGGGTAGAGTAGACTGCAGAGGAGCAGCTGCTAAGCAGGCACCAGCATACTGGCCAAGGAAGAGGGCAGGCCCAGCAGGGACTTGGCAGACAGAAACTGGTGGGCATGGGGGACACATCTGAAACCTTTTTTCATTTTCGTTTTTATTTTCAAGATAAAGTCTCGCTCTGTTGCTCAGGCTAGAAGGCAGTGGCATCATCATAGCTCACTGCAACCTCAGACTCCTAGTCTCAAGAGATCTTTCTGCCTCACTGAGTAGCTGGGACTACAGATGTGTGCTACCACACCCGGCTAAATTTTTCTATTTTTTTTGTGGAGATGTGGGGTCTCCATCTTGCTCAGATTGGTCTCAAACTCCTGGCCTCAAGCAATCCTCCCACCTTGGCCTCCCAGAGTGCTAGGATTACAGGTGTGAACCACTGCGCCCAGCCCCTTTCATTTTTTAAAAGTGGTCTCAGTTTGGTAAAGAAACATCTTTGATCTTTTGGCAGGAGGAGGAGTGTTGGAGTCAAAAAGTGTGTTCTCACATATCTGCTGTTCCTGGACCACTGAGGGGTGGTGAAGAGGGGGAAATGAATGGTACCCTTTAGGCCAAAAAGACAATAACATCTCTTGGGTTGCTGAGATTTTGTGGGGAAGGTGCCCTAGACTAGTGCTGTCCAACAGGGGACTTTTTTTTTTTTGAGACAGAGTCTCACTCTGTTGCCGGGGCTAGAGTGCCATGGCGTCAGCCTAGCTCACAGCAACCTCCAACTCCTGGGCTCAAGCGATCCTCCTGCCTCAGCCTCCTGAGTAGCTGGGACCATAATAGGCCACCAAGCCCAGCTAGTTTTTTCTTTAGTTTTTTCTTTTTCTTTTTTTTGAGACACAGTCTCGCTCTGTTGCCCAGGCTAGAGTGAGTGCCATGGCATCAGCCTAGCTCACAGCAACCTCAAACTCCTAGGCTCAAGCAATCCTACTGCCTCAGCCTCCCAAGTAGCTGGGACTACAGGCATGCGCCACCATGCCCGGCTAATTTTTTCTGTATATATTAGTTGGCCAATTAATTTCTTTCTATTTATAGTAGAGACGGGGTCTCGCTCTTGCTCAGGCTGGTTTCGAACTCCTGAGCTCGAGCAATCCGCCCGCCTCGGCCTCCCAGAGTGCTAGGATTACAGGCGTGAGCCACCACGCCCGGCCTTAGTTTTTTCTTATATTTTTAGCTGTCCAATTACCTTGTTTCTATTTTTGGTAGAGACAGGGTCTCGATCTTGCTCAGGCAGGTCTTGAACTCCTGAGCTCAAACGATCCACCTGCCTCGGCCTCCCAGAGTGCTAGGATTACAGGTGTGAGCTACTGTGCCTGGCCTGAGGACTTCTTATGATGATGACAGTGTCCCATGTCTGTGATGTCCAATACCATAGCCACTAGCCACATGTGGCTATGGAGCACTTAAAATGTAGCTGGTGTGGCCGAGGAACAGAATTTTAGAACTTTTATTTAATTTTAATTAAACAGCCACACATGGCTATTGAACAGTATAGCTCTAGCAGTGATGCTGTTGCTATTGACAAGAAGCTAGAGACATTATTCCTTCTCACCTTCCTCCCTCCACTGCTGCCCCGGCTGTCAGATGTAGTTTGCAGATGAGCATTCATTCATTCAATCCCACCCTCACTGGTCTAGAGTCAGATAGTTTGGGGGTTAAATTCTGGCTTTGCCATTTAAACTCTAGGTCCTTAGGCAAGGACCCTATGTAAAGCATATAGTGTAGTGTCTGGCACGCAGAAAACACTCAAGGATAGCGATCATCACTTTAATAAAACAATGTGTGGCTGCTTACAGAGCATTTGTGTCTATGGGAAGAGATGGAAAGGGTTTTCCCCTGTTTGGCTTAGTCCCCATAAAGAATTCACCATCCCCAGTGTTAAGTAGGTATGCCACAAATTTAAAGGTTAGGCTGGGTCGGGCGCGGTGGCTCACACCTGTAATCCTAGCACTCTGGGAGGCTGAGGTGGGAGGATTGCTCAAGGTCAGGAGTTCAAAACCAGCCTGAGCAAGACCCCATCTCTACTAAAAATTAAAAAAAATTAATTGACCAACTAAAAATACATATACAAAAAAAATTTAGCCGGGCATGGTGGCGCATGCCTGTAGTCCTAGCTACTTGGGAGGCTGAGGCAGGAGGATCGCTTGAGCCCAGGAGATTGAGGTTGCTGTGATGCCACTATCATCACAGCCCGTTTGTGTCTGAGGGTTTCCATCCCAGGGTGGTGTGCAGAAAATAGGGGTGAAGCTGGGTCATCGGGCCTGTGTTCCCATCTGAACTTTGTCACTTGGCATTGTGGGGCTCAGGCCAAGCCACTCTGTGTTTCAATTTTATTTTACTTTCCCGTCTATAAAATGGGATAATAATACCTACACGACCTAGACCTCACAAGATTATTGGAAGGTCCCATGAGATTGAGGTTGCTGATGCCACGGCACTCACTCTAGCCTGGGCAACAAAGCGAGACTCTGTCTCAATCAATCAATCAATCAATCAATCAATAAATAAATAAATAAATGTTAGGCTAAATTGATATCACAGGTGACGTCCTGGGGTTTAATTCCAAGGAAAAAGAACATTGGAGCAGAGGAGACCTCACACCCAGAGGCCCACATCCTCACCTAGTTCTCTGTGGTGCCTCTCAGTCCTCAAAGCTGTGGCTAGGGTGGTCATTTTGCCTGCAGCTCCTCATTCCTTCCGTTGAGCTAGCACACCGGCTGACCTTGGGCCCAGCCTTCCCCTCCACCGCTGCTGAGCATTCATCCATTCAACAGACGCTGACTGTGGACCTATTATGGGCTGGACACTTGTGATAGAGCTGCTAACAACAGTCCCTGCCCTTTGAAGTTCATATAACCTGGTGGGGAAAACTGCTGAATTCCAAGTTTGAGGTCAGCACGGGGTGCTTTGGAGAGAGGAGTCCAGTCATGGGGGTGGGAGGAGCTCATCAAGGGGGCGGTGCTCGCCCAGCTGGAGGAGGGAGCCTAGGGATGCGGCCCACAGGAGGAGCTGGAGGACGTCAAGAGCAGCGGGCTGGAGCTGCCCAGGGAGGCCCCTGGGTCACCTTTCTGTCCATGCGGTGTGCCCAGGCTAAATACAGTGCAGGGCTCAGCTCTACCCACACAGGAGCCATGGCCAGCTGTTCCCCAGGTCACCTTGGTTGTGGGCAGGCCAGGCCTTTGTTAGGGGCCAGGGGCCAGCTGCCACATGGACCTCACCAGATAGTGGTGATCACCACGCCAGCCGCGGCCAGGCCCGTATGAAGAAGCATGACTGCGTCTGCAGGGTGTTTCCACACTGTCGCTCTGTTGTGTTCACCACGTGAGAACGCAGCGCAGGGTGCCCAGGGGAAGACTGGGGTGCACGCATATGCAACTAGAGAAGCGAAGTGCCTCCTCAGCCCTCAGCATTCCCCACTGAGATGCAGGGGAGTTTTAGGATGTACTATCTGCCTCCCGCCCCCATGCCCTAGCTGTGTTCTTTTCCTTTCTATTTTGGCACAGCTTACCTAGAAAATGCTGCTAAAAATATGGGTGACATCATCAGATGTATTATTGATTTTGCTTTTGAAAAACTTGGGCTTCACTAAGTGTCCCCATTTCTCTTGTAGTTTTCGGGAGAGAAGAAAACTGGTTGCTGTGGCCAGGTGACAACTCCTGCAACCAGGGCTGGAGAGCTGGGAGTGGGGCGTGTGGGTTGTCACCAGTGGTCAGGAGGTCCTGCGGTCAATGCCATGGGAACTCTAAGCTTGGCCCTGGGGTGAACCAGCCCAGTGGACTCATTTCTTTGGCTTCCACTATTCCCTCCCTGTAGCCTCCGTTTAAAACACCAGTCTCCTTGGGACGTCTAACTCATGAAGTCCCATATCCCTCAGTGAGGTGCTCTGAGAGTTGCCTGGTTAGGGGTAGGGGTGGGTCCTCAGGAGGCCAAGAGTGAGCTGGGAAGGGCCTGCTGGGACAGACGGGCCTCAGGGTGAGCTGTGAAAGCAGGCAGGCCCACGTCCAGGCCTGGTTTGGGAGCCAGGGCCTGAGTTTTCTGCCTGGTGCCCCCCACCTGCAGTTTTTCAGTTCCCAGGCTTCAAAAGGCACGCGGGGCACCTGCAGGGCTGCCTGGGGGACCTTCATGGTGCTGAGGCCTGTGCCTCCCAAAGCCCACCCTCGGATAGCTCCACCCTAGCAGCCAAACCCGGCAGCTACGGAGGGCCACAGAGAAAAAGCCTATTTGCTGTTCCTGGAGCACTTGTAACTTTTTTTTTTTTGGCTTCGGTTTCTTTATCTGTCAAATGAGGCACGTTCACACTGGAGCCCAGGTTATTATTTCTGATCACCCACTATCATCACACCCCGTTTGTGTCTAAGGGTTTCCATCCCAGGGTGGTGTGCAGAAAATAGGGGTGAAGCTGGGTCATTGGGCCTGTGCTCCCATCTGAACTCTGTCACTTGGCATTGTGGGGCTCAGGCCAAGCCACTCTGTGTTTCAATTTTATTTTACTCTCTCGTCTATAAAATGGGATAATAATACCTACACGACCTAGACCGCACGTGATTATTGGAAGGTTCCCACGAGATCATATATGGGAAAGCGCTTTGTAAAAAGCAGAGTTATGTCCGAATAAGGGGTATCATTAGGTGGTAGCTGGAAGCTGTAATTTAGGCCTGCCCCATCGCCACGGCTGCCTCTGGGCGTTGCAAGCTGCTCTTTTAGGGGGTCTCTTGGGCTTGAGCATATGACTCCATTCTGAGGAGGGCGGTCGGTAGGGCCCCCATTTCTTCTTGCATTCCTAGTCGTCTGGTGATACAACCCAGGCCTCGCAGCAGGGTGGGCGCTGGCGAAAGCGTCCGCTAGGGCAGCTCTCTGATTCGGATGCCCCCTGACTGACGTCTCCGCCCCCGAAACCCACGCTCGCAGAAGCTGCGCCGGGCTCGCGCGCTCGCCCCCTCCTCTCTCGGGAAGGGCGTGGCACCGCCGGCGCCCGCTTCCCAGGCGCTGGGGGCGGCCTGGCCGGGCTGCTGCTGCCTGGGGATGAAGGAGATGAGGAGGATGCTCTAACGGCCGCATTCGGGCCTCAGGGACTCCTGAACGGGGGAATGCCTGGGGCGGCGGCCCGAGAGACTTGGGGTGACCCGCCCTGCGGGCCGTTCTGGCCCCCGAGCCGGCTCCCTCTCCTGCCCAGGCGGGCGCGGCGCTCGCAGCCCTCCTTATTCCGCCAGCCAGGGTGTTGGCGAGTTAGACCTCCCAGCCTCACGGGGCTGCTGTGCGGCTGCGGCGACGTCGGCGACTGCGGCGCCGCGGAGGAGACGGAGGGCCCGAGAGGCGGCGCCACGTGAGTCCCGCGGAGCGCGGGGCTGGGGCCGCGGCGGGAGGTTACCGTATTTATCCAGGCCAGCGCCGGACCCTTGGGGGCGGGTCACTGCGGGCGCGCTACCGTATTTGCCGGGGGCCGCGCAGGTCCTTTCCGGGAGCGGGAGCGCCGCGACTAAATTATGTATTTATCCAGGGTTAAGTGGTTCCGCGGGGGGCGCTGCGGGCGCAGGGAGTGGGTTGCATTCATTTCCCTCCGGGAGGAGCCGGGGCTTGCAGCCGGGCGGGGTGGGTTGCGGCAGCAGGGAGGAGGCCTACGTATTTTCATGGGGGGGTGGGGTTGCGACGCAGAGTTTACCATATTTCTCCAGGGTTGCTCCGGCCCCAGGAGTTGGCAAGGTTGTGCGTGAGGTCGGGTGGGGTGGGGTCAGCTCTTTCGATTAATGCAGCTATCTGACAAGAGCAACGTTGCAGAAGGCTTGCTGTCTTTATGGGGGCGGGGGAGAAGAGGTGCGGGAGTGGCTGCGGGAGGGTTACCGTATTTGCGTTGGGCAGCGCAGACTCTAGAGGAAAGAGCCGTCGCCAGAGACCCGGAGGAGAAGGGGCGCAGCCCGGGCTGTGAGTGTGACATGGGATGGAGGAACTTGGGGAAGATTCAGGGGCCATGGCTTTGGACCCTCTCCGCGTGCGGGCGGGGCTTCGGTCAGGGTTATAGCTGGGGAGAGTGGGAGGCTGCCCACTGACAGTGCCAGCTAAGATTGGCCAAGGGGACAGTGCAACTGGCTGGGGAACGATTTGTGGGTGGGGTCTGTGGCAAGTGGTGCTTGTCCCCTTCCCCAAGGTGAGTGTCAGTTCCACCCTGGCCTAAGGGTAGGGGAAGACAGGAGATATCTCTGAGGCCCCACTCTGCAGACAGATTGACTGAGGCTGGAGGTGTGGGGAAGGCCTCAGGGGAGGTCCTGGGAAAGAACTAGCGAGCTTCCTTGATGGGGGTGGGGAGAATGGATGAAGCAGGCCTCAGAGACCTGCAGGAGCAGGAGCCCATGTTTTTTGGGAGATATGGGGGTGGTGGGTGGCAGTAGACAGTGCTCTTACAGGAGAAGTGGCCCTTTGGGAATGAATGGCTCTTCAATGGCCAGGATGGTGGCAGTGGTCTTGTGTGTGTGTATGTTTGAGGGGTGTTTAGTTGTTGAGCAGCTGGTACATTGAAAACAGCTTTCAACAGACAGTTAGGAGACTTAGGGCCTAGTTCTGGCTCACCTTGCTGTGTGACCTTGGGCAGGTATGTTGACCTCCCTGAGCCTCAGTTTCCCCATCTATAAAGCGGGACTTAGTAACTCTGTTTGGCCCCTTTCTTAGGCTGTTGTGAGGACAATAGGAAACAATTTAAGAGGAACTTAGTACCATGGGAAGAGGATCCTTAGGGGAACCAGCATGAAGGGAGCCAGGTCTGGGGGTGTTTGCTGAGCATTGAGCACATCACTCAGCCTCCAGCCAGGCTTTGCTGTGGGGGTAACCAAGAGGAATCAAGTGGAAACCAGCCCCTGGGAGCTCACACTTGGATTCAGTGACTTGCAAACCTTTTAAACACATGCTGCATGCCTCATTTTGATAAACAAAGAGCTGCCACCTTTAATGTTTAACTGAGGTCACTTTCAAGTTTACAGGGTTTTGTTTTTCTTTCTTACTTTAAGCTTTGCAAAAATCTTTAAGCCACCAGTGATCCCACCCTTCCCTCCAGGTTTGGGGTGCACCTCACCACCTACCCCTGTACCCCCCTCCAGAATCTGGTTGGAAGAGATAAGAAACAAAATACTAGGAGTCCCTGAATATCACCCACCAGAATTTATTCAATGTCTTGTGTGGCAGGTACAGTGCTTGGTGCTGGGGTTAAAAGAAGCCAGGGCTGTCCTTAGGGATGGTGGGGGGAGGAGAACAGAGGTGGCTGGACAGACCCTCAGGCAGTGTGATAGTGAGGATCACAGGGTTGGGCCTTATGGTTTAAGGAGGGGCTGAAGTTGTCCGGAAAGGCTTCTAGGAGGAGGTGGCCCTTAAGAAGGGCCTGGAGGGAGGGCGGGGTTTGCTTAAGAGGTAGCAGAGATAGGAGAGTAGCTTCCAGCAGTGGAACTTTGGCCTGAGCAAAACTACAGAAGGGCGAATGCTGGAGGCTGTGGGAGGTGAGTGTCCCCGGCCAGACTGGGGGCTGCCTGATCTCCGGTGTCCCCTGATCCCTCTCTCCCGCTTCTGCCTCCCCAGGGACTCCTGATTGCAGCTGCAAGTGCCCATGACGGAGCTGGCGTCCTCCGGGGGCGGGTCCCCTGCGGGGGACGGGGAGGAGGGCCTGGGGGACGATCGAGGCCTGGTCATCCACCACCCTGCGGAGGAGCAGCCCCACCGCTGCCTGCTGTGTGGCCAGACCTTCTCGCAGCAGCCCAGCCTGGTGCGGCACCAGAAGGCGCACGGCGGGGCGGGCCGCGCGGCAGCCTTCGTGTGCCCCGAGTGTGGCAAGGCCTTCAGCGTCAAGCACAACCTCGAGGTGCACCAGCGCACGCACACCGGGGAGCGGCCCTTCCCCTGCCCCGACTGCGGCCGCTGCTTCAGCCTCAAGCAGAACCTGCTCACGCACCAGCGCATCCACAGCGGCGAGAAGCCGCACCAGTGCGCGCAGTGCGGCCGCTGCTTCCGCGAGCCGCGCTTCCTGCTCAACCACCAGCGCACCCACGCGCGCATGCCCGCGCCGCACCCGCGCCGCCCCGGCGTCTTCGGGGAGAGGCGGCCCTACTTCTGCCCCCGCTGTGGCAAGAGCTTCGCGCGCGAGGGCTCGCTCAAGACCCACCAGCGCAGCCACGGCCATGGGCCCGAAGGCCAGGCTGCCCATTTGGGCCGCGTGCTATGATGCGCGCCAGGCCCACCGCCGGCTGCTTCCTGCCTCTCAGATGCGTCCGGACTCCTGGAGATGGCCCTGGGCTGCAGCCCCCTGTCCAGATAGGATCCTGGGAGCGGGAGAGGGCTGGCTTGGGGTCTTGAAGCTGTGGACCACCAGGCTCAGGCTGCCCCTTTACGTTTCTCCCTCGGGACCCTCCGAGTGGCTGCATGCAGCTGCTTTGGGCCCGTGCCCTGGTTTTCCTCCTCGGGCTGACCGGCCTAGAGCAGGTGAGGGTCTGGCCAGGCTTGTGGGGTGGCAGGGTGGGTGAGTGGTGTTGATTCTTGATGTCAGTTGGGGGTGGTGGGGCTGGTGGTGCATACTGGGCCGTAGGCCTCTTTGTGACCAGCTGCTTACCAGCTTTTCATTCCCAGAATGTCAGTTGAAACCCACATGGAGAGGGCCCCTTCCCACAGTCCCCGGCCTCCTGGCTCCTGCACGCACTATCTGGTGCCCTCGAGAAGTCATTTCACTTCATGTCTTAGTTTGCTTATCTGTAAGTTGGGAATAAAGATGAGGGACTTCTCCTCTGTGGGACATTGTGAGGATCGTAATTGCTGCAACAAGAGAGGGTGAGGTCACCAGCCCACAGTTGGCACTCCTGGCTGCCACTGCCTGTGCTGCTCTGGGCTCTCCAGAGGTGGCACAGATGTGGACCACAGGTCCTGCCCCTTGGTGCTCCCACTTGATGCGAGTGACAGGTGCCCACTCAGGGTGATGTTGGTGTGGTCAGGAACCACCTGGTGCTCCGGGACAAGAGCGAGGAAGGTAGCTGGCTTCTCCACATCCCCAGGGAGCTGGATGGCTTTGAGCCAGGTTGTGGAGACAAATAGAATTGCTAGGAAGAGCACGTGTGTGGAAGGATGTTTTCCAGGCAGGGTCAGATGGTAGAGGCTGGAATTTGCCCCACAGAGGACTTTGTGGTGGGGGAGGGGACGTCTGAGATTTTTAGTGGGAAGAGCACCTGACCTCAGACCTGTGCTCTAGAAGGAGGACCAACGTCACCATGAGGACAGATGGAAGCGGGGAGAGCAAGAGCCTCAAGGGTCTTGGGGTCATCGGGGCAGGAGAACGTGAGCCCCCCAGCTCAGAGGCTTGACCAAGGTCAGGAAGTGAGAAGGGGAGAGCCACAGCTTGCCCCCAGGACCTCGATTCCAGGTTTGCGCTCAGACATGAGCTGCTTCAGCGGTTCAGGAGATGAGGAAATGGGCTTGCCCCCATCACAGCGCTTTGTGGATAACGGGCGGAAGCCCGGCTTTGTTGGGATTCTGGATCCCAGGACCCTTTAGCTGCACTGTGAAAATGGAAAATGGAGCTGGAAGGATTTGGGAATAGGCTCAGGGGCCATGTAATAGGAGCCTGGCAGAGGTGACAGGGGTGACAGGGGTGGTGTGGATGTGGTTTGGGAGGGAGGAAGTGGGCCTTCCAGAGGACGTGTGCTCCCAGAGCCCTGCTGTGCATGCAGTCGCTTTCCTCTGCTCCTCTGCCCTTCCTTGGTGCTGCATGGCTCCTCGGGTCCACTGCCTGTGCCTGCCCCCCCCCAGGTGGCCGTTGCAATGTGGACTAGTGCTTCGTGGCAGAGATTAAGAGGCTAAATAGGGACCTGGGACATCTGGAGCCAGTTGCCAAAATGCCCTGAACCCACGGTGTCTCATCTGTAATGTGACTCATAATCCTTGCAGAGCTTGGTATGGGGCTAAGAGGACTCACTGAAAGCCCCCGACAGATCAGCGAGGGCTGGCTGACTGCTCCCTCCAAGACCCAGAGGGGAGGCTGGGCAGGGCCACGTCACGGCCCCAGTCCTGACCTTGATCTCTTTGTTTCTGTGAACAGATGCGGAGTGGGCAGGACCTTATGACTCAGAAGGTGCAGGGCACATCTGGGCCCAGAGACCAGGAATGGGGTTCCACAGGGCTTGACTGGCACCACACCCCGGCATGAGGACACATCCCCTAAGCAGACCTGCCTTGGGAGGTGTCCTGCAGTGACCTGTGGAGGTGACAGGATGGAGCTTGGAACTGGAGGCAGATTCTGAGCCCTGTGGACAAACTCACCAGACCTGGTGGGAATCACAGCCAGGGAAGACCTCATCCTGGCTACCTGGCCATGGGTCTCAACTCTCTTTGGTGGCAGGGACGACACCCGTGTGGAGAGCTGGCTTCTCTCCTCCCACCTGCCCACCACTTGGCCAAAGTTCAGGGACGGGAAGTGACTGGTCTAAGCTAACACAGCAAGGCAGTGGCAGTCCTGGCACTAAAGGCAAAACTTTGCCCCAGATGCAAATGACACCTGCAGGCTTCGTTTTCCTTTCTGAGCAGTGGCTCTTAACACTTTGGGGTCATGAAACCCTTTGAAAATCTGATGGTTATGGACTTGCCTCCCCACCCCAGGAAAACAGACATACTCACCTAGATTCAAAAATCCCAAGCAATTTCAAGAGGCCCTGGACTCCCTGGATGAAACCCGTCCCCTGACTCCAGGATGAGCACCTCAGCCCTGGGGGCTCCTTGTCTGTCACTCATGGAGTCCTAAGTCCAGGCTGCTATAATAGTAGTGTTCCTCCTCCCCCGGCCAAGCCTGCTTCCCTCCTCCAGGAGCTAGGAATTTAGTCAGTCCCTCCTTCCAGACCTAGCAGATGATGCATCAGGGTGTGGACCTAATTTCCCTTCCCTAGACACGATGGAGTTTCCCTGCGCTGGCTTTGCTCTTCTTGTTTTTGTGTGTCTAACCTGCTGCTGGTTTTCACAAAGGAGCCCTTTGCTCCTGTCCTGGGCTCTGATTTCTGTATGAGGTCCCGAGAGGATCTGGGCTGCCTAGCATGTGTGCTGGCGGGAGTGAGTTTGATCTGAGTCTGCCCCAGGGAGGAGAAATCCTGCTTCCACCAGCCAAGCCCAGACAGTGGTGCCTCCTGTCCTACCAGCTGTTCCCCCCAGCCAGGTATCACTCGGGAACATTGGGGAGGAAGAGGATGAGAGCTTTGCTCCAGGTGCCCGAGGCTCTGGGCAGGGGGTAAGCCCAGTGCAGTGGCTTTCTGTGTGCTCCCCGCCGCTGGCGGCACAAATGGAGCCCAGGCTCAGGCTGGCAGCAGGACGGGGACTCCTCCTGTCTTTACACCTGCGAAGGTCGGCCCAGGGCCCACGAGTTCTCACCCCCTGCCCGAGAGAGAAAGCTGCCCATCAGAAGAGGCAAAAGCAACCAGGGCAGGGAGGGTGCGGGTCAGGGCTGTGAATCCTGCCCTGGGGTGTTGCTTGTCATATCTTCAATGCAGTTTGGCCCATAGGTCGGTACTGATCACCTACCCTATGCCAACCCCGGGTGCCATGACAGAATGCTCAGGGACATCGGAGAAAGAGAAGGCACTGCCGGCCCAGGAGCTTGCACTCTGGGGAACCTTGGCCCACCTAGAGAAGCCTCTACAACACACCCTTTCTCTGCTAACTGTCCAGCTTGTGTCCTTCCTGCCTGTGACTGTGCTGTGCTCATTCCTACCTCTGTACCTTCCCCTGTATTGCTCTGAAATGTCCCCTTCTCTGCAAGCCTTATCTACCAGGGCCCAGCTTCCCGAACCACTGAGTCCACGGTCCTCCTTCCTTCTCTTAACAGTACCTGTATTCACACACCATCTTCCCCGCCCCCTAGAGTATTGTGTGCTGTCTTAGCTTACACTCCAGTCTCCTCTGTGTGTCTGTCTGGATCCCCAACTAGACTGTGAGCTCCATGAGGGCAAGGACTGCATCATTTATTCTCAAACCCCAACAGGGTCTAGCATAGGGCTGGGCTCATAACTCTCAGGAAACACTTGTCGACTGACTGATGGATCAAGTGCTGGAGGTCGTGGGGTGGCTGGTCCTGGGAGGTGTGCAAGGGGAGAGGGGGTGTGAGTTAACTAGGGGGTGCGTTTAACTGGGCTGTGGGCTGGCTCCCCTGGATCAATAATGGGCGTCGGAGGTCTCAGGTCCTTCCCTGCTTGGGGCAGTGGGAGCTGAGGGAGCCCCCATGGCTGTGCACATACATGCTCGTCCAGGCCGGGTATTTGTGGAGGTCACTGACACCTGCCGCAGCTGACCGAGTGGGATAAATGTTCTCTTGACATCAGCTGGTGTGAGAGTGGTCATTTGGGTTGGAGGGTTGGGCGGGAGCCAGGAGCTGGCCTCCATCTCCGCCTCCTGCATCTGTCGGGGAGTTAGGTTTCAAGGAAGCATGGTGGCCAAAGATGGCTTTGAGGAACAGGTATTGGGGCCTCCGGAATCACAAGGCAGCCCCCGCTTTGGCTCGCCCAGCCCCCGGTGAGGCCAGACCTGCTCGAAGCTGTGGGGCGAGTGGCAGCAGGCCCTGGGAGTGCTCGAGCCGAAGGAGCAGGCCGCAGTGCAGGTGCGCCTGCAGTGGGGATCTAGGGCCAGTCATGCGCCTCTCCTGTGTGACACAGGGAAAAATCACCTGTCCCCTTTCCTCCCGGAGCTGTGAGTCAAATAAGTATCACATAAACAAGGCTCGTGCAAAGCTCAGGGTTCGTGAGGTGTCACCGTCATCCTCGTCCTCCCATGGTGGCACCTGACAGCAGCCTGCGATCTTCCCTGGCAGGACTACCGGTACGTCAAGCTGCCACCGGGCGGCTGTGACGTTTGGGTAAGGCACTGCCCTCCTGCTACGGGGAGGGCCAGCACCTCGGTCCCGTGCCCCGTCTGACTCTGACTTGAGGCTGCATCTGCGGCCTCTGCCAGCCTGAGGGTCTTGCGTTCAGGGAGCTCGAGGACAGCGCCTTCACAGCCTGGCTCCGCAGGGGGTTGGGGGACACTGGGGAGCAAATCAGGCCGGGCCCTTGTGTTCAACTCAAGTTGGCTAACGCCGCAAAAGGAAATGCTGGGCTCGTGTACCTGAAGGGTGCGAGGGCCCAGCCCCTGCCTCGCTCAGCCCTCGAGGCAGGAGGAAGCTGGCAGCGGCTCCCAGCGTGGGTCACTTTCTCTACAGTTCTAGACGGCAGCAGGCCTGACTCCCGCTGCCCGGTAACTAGATCCATCTCGGGGGTCCTGAATGGTCTGGTCACTTGCCCACCATGGAGGCCATGATCTGCGGGTGGGGAAGGGACTGTGCCCAGGGGAAGGGCAGAGACAGAAGACAGGTGGGTGGATACCAGGTGGCAGACCAATGCCCTTGCTGCTGGCAGGAGTTCCCGGGATCAGCAGTGTCGTGTCACCGGGAGCTGGGAGCTCGTATCAACGAAAGGTCACTGGCCCCACCCCAGGCTCCAGTCAGAAACTGCACGTCGTCAAGACCCCAGGTGTCTTTACTTGCTGTGACGTCCCCGCCTCTCTTGGAGGAGGGCCTTTCCACTCGGGCATTGCATTGGCCGAAAGGGAGGGGAGTGAAGTGGTTTCCTCTTAGGAAAGCTGGCGGGGTGTAGGGACAGGGGTTGCTGTCTTCACTGGGGTCCAGATACCAGCCACAGTCACCCCCTGCCCCCGGGACTGGAGCACACATCAGCGGGACCCACCCTGACCTGGCCTCCCTACCTGGCTTTTGGGAACTTACTGGAGTCCTGAACACAGCACAGGGGGAAAGGCTGAGAAAAGGGCCAGTGCTCGGCAAAAAAGCAGCTGGCTCCCCCAAGGGGCTCCTCTGTCCCTGTCTGTGCTCCCCAACTCTTTCTGTCTCCACCCTCCTGTGGCCTCCTTCAGAACAGCCCAGCCTCACGCTCCTCATAATGCCCAGGTGTCTCCCGTGGGTGGCCTTGCTGCCCTGCCCCTCCCCTTTCCAGCTGTGGAGTGTTGGCTGCGGACAGCTCACAGCTGCCTTGCCTGGGCGCTGCCCCAGCTCAGCCCAAACTGGCAAATGACTGCTGACACGGGGTGTGGGGAGGGTGTTCTGTAGCTTCACTGTCCCTCTCCAGAGCCCTTCCCCCAGAACTCTCATCCTCCCCAAAGAGGAACCTTCATCTCAGCCTCCACTTCTAGAATGCCCAGCCTAAGGCAAGGTCTTTGAAGAATACAAGCTCAATGGCTAGGTCTGGTGGCTCAATGGCTAGGTGTGGTGGCTCACGCCCAGTGCTTTGGGAGGCCGAGGTGGGAGGATCGCTTGAGGCTAGGATTTTGAGATCAGCTTGGGAAACACAGCAAGACCTTGTCTCTACCAAATAATAATAATAATAATGAAAAAGGATTAGCCAGGCCCGGTGGTGCACGCTGTAGTCCCAGCTACTCAGGAGACAGGTTTGAGGCTGCAGTGAGCTACGATGGCACCACTGCACTTCAGCCTGGGCGACAGAGCAAGACCCTGTTTCTAAAGGGGGAAAAATAAAATAAAATCTCAAAGAATCTTGCACACAGATGGTGACTAGCACCTTTCTCTGGCAGTTCTGTGCGATACTGGTCACCTGTGGGACTTCAGTGCATTGCAGGTGGGTTAATGGACTGCAGGTGACTGTCCTTGGTGAGAGGCCAAACCAGAGGACCTAAATGCTGGCGTGGCAGCCCCTCCTCAGCTGCACTGAAGCCCCTCTCAACTGGAAACAAGGGACGAGGATCTAATTCACAGGTCAAGGGTTGGGGTCTAGTCTGACCACGTGGCTTTGGCCAAGGTCCCTACCACAGTGAGGCTCAGGCTCTGACACTGAAATGAACGAGGTAGAGCTCAGCTCCGCGGTTTCTCTCAGGGGCTCCCCTGGTGCGCGTGTGGGGCTCTTTTGGGTGGTGAGGGACAGAGACCCATTAAGGCTAGTGATGGGCCGTGCCCCAAGGAAGCCCCCATGTCCAGCTGTGCCGTCGGCCTCACAGGGCAGGTGGCAGAGACAGCATCCCTCCCCACGGTCTCACTGCCATTCCTGCGACTCAGCCTTTGCTCCTTCGGCCGCCACCATCTCTGCTCTGCAGCAGAGTGTGGAGAACTGAAACTGGATCTTGCTTTTCTTTAGGCAGAACTGCAGTTGCTAGCAGTTTCTAGCGTCAGACACAGAAGTCACCTTGGAGCAGACCTTCTTTGTTTCTGGAAGGTCAACAGACCCTTTCAGCTAAGCCAATACAAGATGAATACCCACCGCTATTCTTTTTTTTTTTTTTTTTTTTCTTTGTTCCCGGTGACTTACTTTTCTGTCTTGACCTCACCTATTCTTTTCCCTATATTTTGAGACAGAGTCTCACTCTGTTGCCCAGGCTAGAGTGCTGTGTCGTCTGCCTAGCTCACAGCAACCTCAAACTCCTGGGCTCGAGCGATCCTCCTGCCTCAGCCTCCCGAATAACTGGGACTACAGGCATGCACCACCACGCCCAGCTAATTTTTTCTACGTATTTGTAGTTGGCCAATTAATTTCTTTCTATTTTTAGTAGAGACGGGGTCTTGCTCTTGCTCAGGCTGGTTTTGAACTCCTGACCTTGAGTGATCTGCCCGCCTCGGCCTCCCAGAGGGCTAGGATTACAGGCGTGAGCCACCGCGCCCATTCTTTCTTTAACCTCAAGATGGTATATAGGCTTCCCACCACTATTCTTGAACTAGCCTTGGAGTTGGGAATCTTCTCAAATGCAGATGCTTCGGGCCAGCACGCCAGCTGTTCTGTTTCGTAACAATCATGGCAAAAAGGCTGCTGTAGGTCAGAGCATCTGGGCACAGGGTCTCTGGGACCTGGGAAGGACCTGAAATTCTCTCCCCGCTGAGGGCCTGCACTGGGCCTTGCCCTGGCGTAGGGAAACCTGCTAGAGGGCAGCAGGGGCCCCCGAGGCTGGGATTAAAGCATGTGGGTCCAAGAGAACCTTGGTCATCACAGCAGTGGAAACTGTGTCCATGAGCAGGGCAGGAGACGCTGTGACACGAGGGGGCACGAGGAGTCCTGAGTGGTGGGGAGGCAGTGGACAGAGGGGACACAGCTTCCACTGCATGTGAGCTCCCCCAGAAATTAAACTAGGGGGGGTGTGCATGGGCGGCTCCTGAGGGAAGAATCAGCTAGACACAGTTCTGGGGGCTGGGGAAGGCACAGTCTTCATCTGGGCGTAAAAAGGATTTGAGGCTGGCAAACAGGGTGCGGCGGTCACTGCTGCTTCCACCTCCCATCCTGAGCTGCCTTGCGGTGTCTGTGGCCTCGTGGCGGATGCACAAGGCGGATGGTTCTCTCTCCTGCCACCGCTCTTGGCTTTGATGGGATTTGGGACGTGCTAAAATGTGGCGTCTTGGCATTTGAGACAACAGCAGAAGCAGGAAGGTCACCTTGGCCCTCCCTTCGCCTGTCTCCGCTGAAGCAGGCCATCAAAGGACTCTCTGACTTTCCCCTAACGTAGGTCATAAGACCCTCCTTCCAGAAAGGTCTCCCCTATACCTGGGCGAAAGGAATGTCACACAGAGACTCCAAAAAGATCGGAACAAACAGGCTTTGCTAAGTTCACCCCGGTTTATCAGTGATTGATCACGCTCTTTTGTCCTCTAATCTCACTTTTGCACGACTGTCCATAAAAACACAGTTTCCCCAATGTCTTTGGGTCTTCATTTCTGAAGGCTCCTGTGTCGCCTAAAATGTATATTAAATATATTTGTGTGCTTTTCTCTTGCTGATCTGTCTTTTGTTGTAGGGTCTCAGCCAGGCGCCTGGCGGTGGGTGAGGACAGGTGTTATTTACCTTTGTCCTGCAGCCTCCTCCGAGCTCCACTCTCTGCGCCCCCTGTCTGGCACACAGACTCCCTGGGCAGGTTTGCCTCCTGGGCTGGGGCACATGTGCTGGTCCTGTGGCTCTAGGCAGAGTGACTGCGGCCTGGGGCACAAATCCCGAGAACTGGTTTTCCAGCGCATGCAGAGCCCCAGTTCTCAGTGGGGCGTACACTGACCGGCAGTTCGGGCTTCCTGGCCCATGTGTCCGCCGCGCTGTGGTTTCTCCTCCTCAGAGCCCCTGCCCTCGCTCTTTTCTACTGTATTCTTTTTTTTTTTGAGACAGAGTCTCACTTTGTTGTCCAGGCTAGAGTGAGTGCCGTGTCGTCAGCCTAGCTCATGGCAACCTCAAATGCCTGGGCTCAAGCGATCCTTCTGCCTCAGCCTCCCGAGTAGCTGGGACTACAGGCATGCGCCACCATGCCCGGCTAATTTTTTGTATATATTTTTAGTTGGCCAATTAATTTCTTTCC